CGCAGGAAGCAGAGGTAATCGGTGTGGGGGACAATTAGCAATCTGTGGAAGACCCATCGAAATTGTGCGCTGACAACCTTCTGCATGGACAGTACCAGCAATAGTTTCCTATTAAAGGAAGATCCAAAGCATGTGACTGAATTGAGAAATAATATCAAATATGTAGGCCAGTCTCGGGTAGCATTAATTGGTAACCATAAATAATAATCATTGAACTGTCTAATTGGTGATGTTGAAAATGTTACGAAGACACTGGGTAACAGAAGAAAGTGAGTTCTGAAAGAATGATGCAAGATAAAAGAATAGCCAAAGAGCACATTCTAAATCAATTATCATAAATAACAGAATGGGCTGAACTTTAAGAAGACGGCAAGACCAGGTTAACAGCAAAATCGAGGCACACCTAATTTACGGAGAAATGTCTAACACACAGGCAGGAAGAGGGTGAGGAAAACACACACCAGGAAAACAATGCAACATACAAATATTAAAGCTGTATTAATAATACACAAATTAGAATTAAAATGGGAACCTTAATACAGTTAAATGGTTCCCTCCAATGATTCACAAGTTACTACAAAGTTAGCTGTTCTAAATTTCTGGGGATTTTAACATAGTTGTGGGATATATACTACAGAATTTCAAAGAGAATTTGAGAAAGTTAACAATGGGAGTGGAAAGATGTTAGGTACCTATTTCTTGTATCTTTAAAATACCTTGAAAATTTTGGTAATTTTCAACTATTTTATCATCTGAAACTACAACCAAGATATATCTATATCTATATATATATATATATCTCTAGATAGATAGATAGATAGATAGATAGATAGATAGATAGATAGATAGATAGATTTTCCTGTCCACCCCTCCTAACGCCAGGGAAAGAGAGGGCTTTATTTTAGGAGGAGAAAACGGGAATTCAGGGTGGCCTCACTTTATGATTTAATCTGTAAGGCTTCCCCCATTGCTCCACAGGCTCCTGCGGGAGGAAGCCATTGGTTTCTGCTTCCCCGCAGCTGGGCCCAGGTGAAGGCCACACTGCCTCAAACACATGCAGCAGCGGCTCCTCCTGGGGTGCAGATCTGGAAGGACAGTGACAGACAGAGACAACCTGATAATGGGACACCCTGGGGGATACAGCCACGTGGGCCTCCCAGTGCCGGTCCACTGCTGGCAAGCTGGCTACAGGGACATCACCACCGGAAAGACCCCGCAGGGCTGGTTTTATTTATTTGCCCTCTTTGTCCCAGGCATCCCAGGGATGCCCAGTCCTGACCGAAGAGTGGCTCAGTCCTTCATCATAAAGTGACAGTGACAGCCTCTGTCTAGCAGGTGAGGACTGAGTGAGCACTCAGAGGTGATGTACAGAAATGGTCATAGTAAATTCAAAGGCCCAGATGGTATATTTACATTTCACAGTTACAAAAACACATTTCTCTCTTACACCCTTCCTTCTTTTTCCCTCCCTTCCTCTCTCGCTCCTTCCTCCTTCTTTACTTTCCCTTCCCTTCCCTTCTCCTCCTCTCTCCCTTCTCTCTCCCTTTCTTCTCTCCCTCTCCCTCCCTCCCCTCCTCTCCCTTTCTCTCCCTCCCCCTCTCTCTATAAAAAGCTTTGGGCTTTTCAACAACAGAAATTCCATCATCCTCACAGGGGGATGTCCCCTGGCCAACAGGAAGCCCTCCCATGATGCACCTGTAGAGGGCGGGTATGCAAGCCTCAGAGGTCCAATCAAAATGCCCCACAGAAGAGAAGCCACCAGTCAGAGCCTACTGCAGCAGGAGAGATAGGACTACAACGCGTGAGGCGTGGCACTGCTAGGACACACAGGAGCCGGGGTGTGACGCTCAGCCCCTGCAAGCGGTGTGCCTGAACCACTCACTTGGCATCTCGGGATCCCTGGCCTCAGGCTTCTTACAGGGTTCCATGGGCAACCGCCAGTTAGCGCACTTGCAGCAGCACATGGTACACACACAGCTGATTGCTATTGATCTTTCTTTCATGCTTTTTTTACACAGGGTCTCACTATGTGGCTCACACTGGCCTTGAGCTCACTATTTAGCCAGGGCCAGGCTGGCCTTGCATTCACAGGGACCTCCTGATCCTCTTGCCTCAGCCTCCCATACCCAGCTACTGATGTCATTAAAGAACATTAGAGACTAAGAAAAGAGGACTTACCGGGGGGCCAGCAGGACCCAGGGCCACTTCATTGATTGCAGAACAGGCACAAGAATGGGGGAGCTCGGGGCAGGACTGGTCATCCCTCTGAGGAGAAACACACAGTGAGCGCCACTGCTAATGGGAGAGCCCACACGCGGCTCCCTGACCCGGAGAAAACAAGCGGCGGTGCGCTCAAGGTTTTCTTTTCTCTCTTTCTTTTTCTTTCTTTCTTTTCTTTTTCTTTTTTGTATTTGAGGGAAGGGTCTACAGGGTGTTCAGAGTCTCACTACTAGATTGGACGCGTAGTGATCCGCCTGTTCACAGCCTCCCTAGAGCTGGGATTACAGGTGCGCACCACCATGCGCAGTCTCAATGGCTGTCTCAGGGTGAGCTTTAAACCCCCAGCCCCTGCACCTGCTTGCAGGTGCTCTAATCCACTGAGCTATTTGGCTGGTCCAAAGTTTTCAAATAACTGGCAAAGGCAGTGGGCGTCTGCTCCTGGCTGCTCAGGCCTCTCTGTCGTCATGGGAGCTGCGTGCATTCCCTGTGGCTCGCTGGTAACCCCACCCTGGGAGGCTCTGCTAGGACCGACCTGGGCAGCTAAGTGAGGCCAGAAGGCCGGAAAGGCGCGCCAGGATTCCCAGCTATGGTGCCTTCACTTACATGCACAGGACTCCGTGAACTAATGGTCAAGAAAACTCAAGGCTCTCACCTTTTCTCTACTTCAAAGAATGAAAGAAAATGTGAATGGAACGCTTAGTCAAAACAACCACATCTGTACTGAAACCAACAAAGAGATGAAACAAAATAAAAATTGCCCAGACCTATCAATTCCCTGTGACAATTCCATTGACTGCTTACATTTTGCGGCTGAAAATACAAAAAATAGTGTTGATCTAAAAGCTCTTGTGCTGTAGTCATTTTTTCCGTGGGGAATTCTGTGGCCATGTGACAGTGCAAGACAGACTAATCTGAATCTATCTTGGAGTCCCTGGAATACAGAGATGCTTATGTGGTCCGCCTAGGGAATGTACACATTGTCAGTATTAAGGTTTACACAAAGATGCCCCCCAAATCCTCAGGCACTGTTGGGTGGGGTGCTGGGAGATGATCCCATTACGGGCCTATGATGTTCGGCGTCTATGGCTGGGTCAACTTCCCTCCTTCCTCTCCACTTCCTGCTACCCTGCCATGGACTGTTTCTCCTCTACTACCCCACTCTGCTTGGGGAAACTTTCTTCTCCAACACAGAAACCTCTACAAACTGTGAGCCAAAATATCTCTTCACTAAGAAATCCTGGGATATAAATGGAGAGAGGGAGACAGAGACAGAGACAGAGACAGATCTCTGAGAGAGACAGACAGACAAAGAGACAGACAGAGAGAGACAGAGAGGTTGAGAGAAAGTTTGTTTTGGTCCTTGGTGAGAACTACAGACACTGGAGATGCTGTTTCTTCTTGATACAGCATAAAGACCTGAATATTGCACCTTCCAATTCCCACCTTACTTGCATTTAGGCATAATATCCAGGTCCCTGATTTAGGTCCTCACTAGAACTGTTAACAACTTATTTAAGGGATGGCAGAATAGCTCAGCAGATTAAAGAGCCTGCAAGCAGGCGCAGGGGCCAGGGGTTCAATCCCGGGGCCTGCTGTGCCGGCCCCACCCCTGGGGCATGCTGAGATGGCAATTGAGACTGGGCATGGTGGCATGCACCTGTAATCCCAGCTCTTGGGACACTGTAAACAGACAGATCACTATGAGTTCGATCTAGTAGTGAGATCCTGAACACCTTGTAGACTCTTCCCTAAAATACAAAAAATAAAACAAAACAAAAAAAACCATGTAGCTGGAGAAAGACTAGGTTAACTTTCTTCTCCATCACAGGCTCCTGAGTGTACCGTCTTCGGTGACAGCTTCAGTGACTTAGACAGCCAAAACTGCAGATGGCAGGAAGGCTGCTCGACACTGGCCTCTAGGCTGAGTCTGATTTTAAGAGGTAAGCACACCCGGTCACAGCAGGGCCCCATCACAGCCCAACTTCTTGGAAAAGCTTCAGGTAGGAACTTATTTTTCTCTTCTATGAATGCAGACTAACTCTTACACGTAAAGTGAGAAAAGTTTCACCTTCCTTATAGCATTGTAGTCTATGGCCACACCATTCTGGAAGTACCCAGTCTTGGCTCGGTTGTACGGGTTATGACTACAGTCCCCAGATTATGTGCGAGGGTGCCCTGGATACTACATTCAACTCAGAGGGATGAAACACAGCAATGAGAGGCTCCATCGGGCTTGATGCGAGTGGTCAGCTCAAGGTGTATTTTGAAGCCCTTTTCAGAGATATTCTGTATTAACAAATCTGGGTTTTTTGGTAGTCACTATGATGAAAAGCAAATCTGTGGGTGAAAGCAATGTGGAAAAGAAGTGAAAGAGATGCTTAATCTCATTCCAAGACAGGAGAAATACTGGGCCACTGCTCAGTCGGCACACATGTCCCATTACTAAATCGTTATTTAAGAATAAAAGGCAATCCTGCCTTACCTTGGTCTTAGCCATCCAGTAGAAAAGTATGAAGACGAAATATAAGAAATAAAGCCATGCTGTTAAGTTAAGCTGTGGGGGACTCAGCTCAATAATTTCTCACATTGCCAGTTAAACAGAAGACCCAATGCTATTATGGGCTACTGGACTCTTTTAGAATATTTTGCTGAGTTTACACACCTATAATATTCAATAACGGAACTTAGAAAAAATGGGGTACACAGATGAATGTCCATTTTGTATCTGTGTATTCAAAGTGGTTAGGATAGATATATAGTTCCATTCTCTTAATGAATAGAATGATTTGTTCTAATGGTGTTTGTAAATAGGATCTCAAGTCTGCATCTTGTACAGCAATTAACCACTAAGAAGAATATATGCAGTGTGTTATTTGTTGAAACTGTACTTCCGATTTGATTTGAAACTGTCTCATTGCTGTTTATCAATTTTGAAAAAAAAAAAGAATAAAAGGCAGGCATGGTGGCACACACCTGTGACCCCAGCACCCAGGAGGCTGAGGCAGGAGGAGTGCTGTGAATTTGAGGCCAGCATGGCCTACACAGTGAATTTGAGGCCAGCCTGCACTACCTGGTAAGACCTTGTCTCAAGTAACCAAAAAATAAAATAACAATTTCTTTTTTTCCCTTTAATTCACATGTATCATCTTTAAAAGGATGCAGAGTTGTTAGGAAATAAATATTAAGATGTCAGCAAACTGGGCCTGAGATGTTTGGCAAGTCGGACTTCTGGTGTTTTTCCTATCTGAGGCTGCCTTGCAGAAGCTAGTGACCTAAGGCCACAGCGGGTGTGTGGACCATCTTCGCATGCTCAGCGCCCTAGTGCCCGGCTGGGGGTGGCCACGGAGTGGTCTCGCTGGTCTCTTTTATGTCTCCATCTTAACCTTTCCTTAATGTTAGTTAGTATCCCAAGGAGTAATTTCTTACATATATATATATATATATATATATATATATAGAGAGAGAGAGAGAGAGAGAGAGAGAGAGAGAAATGTCGTGTCACCTTCAGAGAAAATGAAATGTAATTGTAAAATCTCAACAGAGATAAAAGAAGAATTCTTACCAGGCCTGGCAGCTCGCAACACTGGTCTCTACTGGCCCATGATGTGGAGCAAAGGATGTCAAACATCTGTAATTGGAACTAGAATGTAAGAGGAAAGTTAGCATTTAGTCAGATGTACTTGTATTTATAGTTAAAACTATGTCGTATGACACAATACTATATACTTCCATGATACCAATACAGTCAACATGTAACATTATTACTATATTAACATCAATCCAGGCAAATAGCTCAGAGAATTAAAGTGCCTACAAGCAGGCACAGGGGCCAGGGGTTTAATCCCCGGGCCTGCTGTGCTGGCCTCGCCGCCGGGGCACACTGAGATGGCAGTCGGGATTGGGTGTGGTGGTGTGTGCCTGTAATCCCAGCTCTTGGGAGGCTGTAAACAGGTGGGTCACTAGAGTCCGATCTAGTAGTGAGACCCTGAACACCCTATAGACCTTTCCCTAAAAGTACAAAGAAAAAAAAAATCAGTCCAGGGGCTGAAGAGATAGCTCAGTAGTCTAAATGCTTGCCTGCCAAGCACAAGGCCCGGGGTTGAATCCCTGGTACCACGTTCAGTGCTGACCCCAAAACAGGGCAGGGTGGCGCATGCCTGTAATCCCAGCACTGGGGAGGCTGAGAGAGATCACTACTGCCAAGCTGTGTAGCAAGACCCTGTACCAAATAAATAAATAAATAAGATTTTTAAAAATCTAAAAAATCAATCCAACAGTATTCAACTAATTTTATTCCTTTAACACACAGTGATATAAGATTTCGTCTATGATTTTGCCAATCCCGGTCAAACGCCCCGTTAATTGCAACTCACTATAAAGAGGCCTCCTTGGAGGCCATCAGAGCCACTCCCAAGTGCCTCTACTCCCTGACGCTCTAGGTGTCCCCTAATAACTCACTGCTCACCACACAGGACAGATACTTATGCTGTCTCCTCCTCAGACCACAAGGGACATCCTGTGTAGCTAACGTGTGGCACATGACAAACCCTCAGAAGTGGTAATTACACAGAGGGAGCTCTACTGTGCTATAAAGAAGGATGAAGGCGAGTCGAGTGGGAAAATGGATTCGTGCCGAAACCGTCATGGTCATGAAATCAGTCAGATATAGAAGACTGAGTAGCTCATCATTTTTCTCATGTGAGAAACCTGAAGTATAAAGAGCAAAAAAGAGAGATAATAAGAAATAGACCTTCTAAAATATTACTTTATTTGTATATGGAAAATCTTTTCATAATTGATTTTCTTAAGGTGTAGGTATATATCTAAAACAGACGCAAAAGAAATAGAATCAAAATAAAAGTGACAGTATTGAGGACAGAAATATACCAGCTGTTTATTTCTATATTGTTATTACGTATTTAAAATTTTAATTGAGAAAATTCTTAGCAAATAACAGTAGCAGTCAACACTTGCTGAGGGCCAGGGAAATGGCTCAGTGGAATAAGCACTTGTCTGGCAAGTGCAAGGGCCTGAGTTCAATCCCCGGTTCTGCAAAAAAAAAAAAAAAAACCCACCTTGCTGAAAATCTACTATGTGGCAATTACTAGACTATTCTGTGGAACAGGACCTGGGATTTTAAAAAAGCTTTCATAATTTAAACACATGTTAAAGCTGTATTCTGGTTAGGATTTGATTAGTGTAAGGAATGTGAGGCTTAACCTTCGAGTGGTATATTTTGCAACAGCTATAACTTTGGTCCAGTGTAGAATCTACAGATGGCCTGGTCTAACTTTACAATGCCATTTCATCGGGGGACATTTACTCAATGGGTCCCATTATGATAGCATTAGATAACGTCAGCTGAGTCTGCGAAACACTCTCATCCATTAAGAAATTTTCCATTTCTGAATAAAGCCCTCAGTGTAAAAACATTTTCATGAATGGATTTACTTAAAGCACAAGCCTTTCACTACGCCAGTATGTACCAGGCTTTCTTGAAGTTTTTCAAATGAACTGTGGTCACTTGGTCACCTGTAACAGCAAAACGCCCTCACACAAGACTCTGGCCAACCTGCACCCTCCAGAGTCCTCAGGACTTTCTCTGTCAGGGCTGGAACGCCCACTGAGCGCCGGCTGAAGCCACACCTATCACTGGAGGAGTGCGGCTGCTCCAGGAATGCTACTATGTGGGCTTGCTTGTCCTTCGCAAGCTGGATGAAATCAGCACCCTTTTCTTTGGGTACAGGAATTTTATTCATCACTGTTTTGCACTCATAACATTTTAGATGCATTGAGGCATATTTCTGGGGATTGATATAAAAATTTTAAAAGATCAGTCTGGCTTTCATTCCAAAAGCTCAGACAGATATATTTGTACAAATTCTACAGGAAAGAATACGGAGCTGACGTGTCGCAACATCTGGCATTTGAGCACCTTAAAATATAGGATAATGTGGTTCAAAATAACTCAGACTTCAGGCAAATAGTCAAGCACTTCTTACTTTTGTGATTGTTTTCTTTAAGTAACTGAAAATTAAAAAAGATAAATCTGCACCCAAACACACACACACACACAGCCTCCTCCTTGCACTTTTTGTAATCTTTCAAGGGAATACTGATTCAATTATAAATGTCCATATTTCACTGTTGGACTTTTTTGGCTGGATGTAACACAAAACCCAAGTCATTTGGGGTCAAATGTTAGCATGAAAATAAGATAAAAGTTTTTTCAGCCCTGAGTCACTTGGTACTTGGGAGTCACAATGTGGCCCTGTCTCAGGTTTCACTCAACACAGATTTGATCCTTTGATTTGTTTCTAAGGTATCTCAGTTATAATTTAAAGTCAAGATGAACTTGAACTTTTACAAATACAGAACTTCCCAAGGCACACAAGTGATTACAGATGAAGCCCTGGTGACTCCATCCACCTTCTGCTTTTAACTTCATGTCTAACTTTTTAAACAATTGATACAGGGTCTCGCTACACAGCTCAGACTCGTAGTGATCCTCCCGTCTCAGCCTCCTCAGCGCTGCGATTACAGGCGTGCACGGCCACACCTGGCTTCAGGGCCGGCAAGATGGGTCCGGGGCTCTGGGGCTGACACGGCATGTGGGTCCTTGCGCTTGCCAGGCAGGTGCTTAGACCACCGAGCTATCTCCCCACCCACTTCACGTCTAACTTTTGTTGGCTCGGGTGCCAGCAAACCCAAAAAGCACCACATTTACTTCTTAGTTACTGAACCAAGAGCTTGCACTTGTTCTCATCAATTTATTGAAAGCACAAGGTCCTAATTAAGCCCAGAAATGGAACTAATTGTTATTCTTGTTGGTGGGGACTGAAATGTTGCAGGACAGACACGCCGTGGTAGGTTCTGATCACCACTTCCTCCCGGGTTGTTATTCAGACTCCGGGGAATGCTGGAACGTGGCAGGAAGCAGGCAGGGCATCCAGCACTGCAGGGACAGGCGCCCTGTGTCTGAAATTCTGCAGCGTCAGAGCCTGATTCGCTGAAGCAGGTGCAGAAGCACGGGCAGGAGAGCCTGTGGAAGTCTCCTGCTGTTCCTTATCACACTCTTCTCCCCAATTTCTTCAGCCCCAGTCTTTGCATCTACAGAATGGGGACAAAATCAGATCTCTTTCTAAATCATCAGAAGATTAAATTGATAGCCTCAGAAAAGTCCACTCTTCCTAACCTATATTTGGCATAGGATAAATTGTAGCAGCCGTCACTACTCTAAAGGTTTCAGAAAATATTTTACGTGGAAACCCAACTGTAGTTTCTTAAAAATCATTGTGTGCTTGCTTCTTTGGGTCACCGCCGAGTCTACAGCTGATTTCTACCTGAAATGCTTTGGTGTCAGATCCTCTCTGTATCGAGATGTTGGCTTGTTCCTCTATCGATGGCATCTGTGATGTCGTAAGGGTGCCGGCAGCATCCACAGACACTGCGGCCTTTAGGATCTCTGTGATGGTTCTGGAAAGTTCTTTGTCTAAAGACTGGTGCCGCACCTGTCGGGCAGCACTGACAATCTCATTAAAAGTGACATTTCCACTGTGTTTAATGTTTTTCTGCTTCTGTCTCTTGATGGCTCCTGGAGGGTTTTGATGACCAGAGCAGGGGCAGAAGGCACCTCCTCCCCTGGGCCTGTCTGTTTCAAATGGTCAGTGTCACCACAATCCTCAGACCCATCCAGTCACTGGTGGCCACGGCATCGTCACCGCTTTGTGTGGAGACAGGCCTAGGGGGCCAATCTTGTGGGCCAGAGCAGATGTGGCACTGGCTTCGCTGCCTTAGGAAGAGCACAGCTTGGATCTCTCTGGGGTGGAAGTTGGGCGGCGCGGTGGAGGCAGCTGGTGTCCGATGAGCCCGGATTCAGGAGGAGCACAGAAGGTCGCCCCTTAGCCTCCTCTCTAAGTGAATAAAGTGGAAGACACTCCACCTCGGGGCTTCAACTTCTCTGTCATTTGAATAGCAGTTGAACGTCAGTTCCAACTGGATAAGTACCCGAACATCAGGTTTGAAACTACAGAAGAAAGGCTCTCACGAAACGTGCCCCATGCCAGCAACTCGGAGGTTTCTGGAGTGTTCTCACTCAGGATCAGCAGGAGTAGCAGAGCCCTCTCAGGAGAAGGATCGGAAGGAGTGACCGCGCGGCCACGTGTTTCCTCATGTACGTTGATAGCAAAGCTGCGCCTGCATATCCAGCTCTGTCCTCCTGACCAGTACAGCCCAGGAAGCTTCGTGCTGCTGAGCACGGTTGTATTTATTCAGAATGTGGGTAATTTATGCACAGTAGTTACTGTATCCCTAAATCTATTAATCTACCCTCCACTCAACTATGGCTTAAGGAGAATCTATTTTCTTTAAAGATGCAGTCGTTAGGGACTCCCACCAGCTGCCACTGTGTCCCTGCTGGACTCGGCAGGCAACCCTGACCTTAAGCCGCTGCCCTGTCTGTCACCTGACGGCTGCTTTCCTCTCTTCTGGCTGTTGAAGCGCAGATGTACCCCGAGACTGACACATTTCTGAATGGAAGACCAGGTCTTCTTCCCCTTGTACTGAAATAATTAAACAGTACCCTTCACCCCCTCAAAAGCAAGTCTGAATTTCCACTTACATTCTCAAGATCTAACCTAATGCCATTCACTTCAAGATAATTAAATTTTTTAGTAAGTGGGCAACTGGAAATCTGTTGAGCGGTCCTTTGTGAACTTCTGGATTCTAACAAAAGTTTTGAGTTTTTTTCCTGATAGCCTTACAAAGAATCCTTTAACTGCAGATGTCTATAAATTCCCCTTTGTCTACTACTGGCTAGAAGTCATTACAGAGGGTGATCTGTTTAATTACATTTCTCAAGTGCTCAAAAGTGAAGATTTATGACCCACTAACCTGAAACCTCTTGCTCTCAGAAACCAATTAGTTGATATTTCCTGGTCAGACATTCAGAGAATAGTTATTACATACAGTGTAATTTGAAATATATTATTATAAAATTATAATTGTAAAACACAAATTATAATTACAAGAGAGTATGGTATATGTTACCAGAATGCAAGCCGTGCCACCCAGAGGGTGTAATATAGACAAAACAAAAACATTTTTAAGGTACATGATATAATTCAAGCAGACAACTTACTACTTAATTTCTACCATGTATTTTTTGAGAACTTGCTCCATTTATAGGGATTTATTCAGTATTACTATGCTGTGGTAGAAGAGGGCAGTTTTAAAGGAAGTATGTCACAATTCTATTCTTGGGAACTTATACTCTGGCTAGAGATTAAATGTGTGTGTCTGAAAGAGTTGATTTCAGTTTTATACACTGAGTAATATTTAGGGTAATAGGTGATATACACGTGCTAGTGGTCTATAAAAGACAGAAGAGGAGATGAACGATGTATAACTGAGTTCTTTCAGTAAGAAGAGCTGCTTGTATCAGATGTCTATGTGTCTAGACCTTTATTTATTTGCTTTACTTATTTGTATTATAATGAAGAAAATGATAATAACAGAATGAAGGGATTTGGAGCTCAAATCTCACACACCTAAAATTGCTTCCTTCTTAGATGCCATCCTTCCAAGATTTCATCTACCTGCATATTCTTTATCTGTAAAAAAAGGCCCTAAGTTGCCAAAAAATCCTAAAAAAGCCCAAAAACAACCTCCAATAAAGAAAAAAAAAATGTGTTTATAATGAGCACATACCACACAACAGGAGACCATTTCTCAACACCACGTCAACATTCCTGAAGTCCTCACCATAATTTCGCCATCCCTAAAATCCTTTGCCATACTTGAAAACAAGTAGGCCTCCCACTGTTTTTACGTTCTCTTTCCAAACATCTCACCTCCAAAGCACAGTGGCAACAAAGGAACTTCCAGAGATAGTTCTGCGACCGTGTTAAGCTAACTAGCACCATTCTGCCTGCCAAGGTCCTAGAGCAATGGAAGGTTCAGTGAGAAGAGGTTCAGGGCACCATGCAAGGAGTTATGAAAGTCACAAAGCTCATCACTGCATTCACACAAGAAAACATCACCGAACAGCACACGGATCCCGAGTGACTCACCCTGTCACCCTGGGGAATCAAATGAACAGACTATAGTAGAATGGAGCTTCTTGAAGGGATCCCATGAAAATAGGGGTGTCTGCCACCTAATGTCCCCTTTCCCTTCAACAGTCTGCTCAAGTCTTATTTATTGGTCACAGCATAAGTCTACATTTGTACAAGGCTGTCTTCAACTTAAGAGGACTTTGATATTTCTGAAGTTCCACACTGCTGGCTAATTCCAAAGAACCATGAAAGTGGGGGACAATAATGATTCACAACTATCTTAATTCTTCTTATATATAAAAGACGCATGTATTTTAGAATAGTTGGAATTGCTTGTAAGAAAAAGGCCCTACTAATTATAGAATGACTCAAATAGAGACTGTTGCTAATCAGCTGTGAATGCACTGTGTTACAAGAACCTGCGTACGCGACGCGTTTCTGAGGGCACTGGGCGAAAAGAACGCGATTTCTCTGCCAGCTGGAGGCCTTCCAGAAGGAAACGCACTTTGCATGAGGAAGGCTGTAGTATCTTGGAATGATCTGTGGTATAAATAACTACTCATGAACAAAGGCTAAACTTCATGTTAGTGATAGCAAGCACCTACTTTAAAAATGCCTGAATCTAAAATAAATAAATAAATGAAAATGCCTGAATCTAAACCAAATTAGACTTATGTGTCAGTTTTTCATATATAATACTCAAAAGGCTTGTATGATTTGTATTTTCTTATATAAATAAGGTTCAATTACGTTTTTGAAAAATCTTTTATTTATTTCGTACAAGGTCTCGCTATGTAGCTTGGACTTGTAGAGCTCCTCCTGTCTCAGCCTCCCCAGTGCTGGGATTATAGGCATGAGCCACAATGCCCAGTTTTGGTGGCTGCAGTGGCACACCCAGGATTCCAAGGCTGGCACAGCATGTGGTACTGGGGTTGAACCCAGGTCTTTGTGCTTGCCAAGCAGGTGCGTGGACTATAGAGCTATGTTCCCAGCCTCACTCATAGTTTGAATCCCAGTAACAAACCACTTAGGTTGAAAACCATGAGATGAATGTTGCCTGTTTTAATAATTCTGCAATGCATTTAGAAAATAAAGTACCTTAATTTCTGGCACATCTTCCTTAGAATATAGCAGAGGCCTACTGCCAAGAGCTCAGAACGCACACATTCTAGTTCATTTAAGGATTCTTTCGTCTGTTCATCCATCCTCCCACCTACCTCTTCACCGATTCCCTCCGGGCAACACTTCCAAGGGAAGTCCCCTGCCCCGGTAATCAGGTGTACTTGTGTATTCACTTACCGCTGCAGAATTTCCATTTGGTCCCTTCGACCTAACCATTCTCCCCAGGACTTCTACTCCATCCGACGTGACGTTAGCTGATATATTTATCGCCTTCTCGCCCACTTGCTTGCAGTCAACAACCACTTGAACCAAAGTCTTGCTGACAACCACATGGAGCTGGAAAAGTGAAAATGTGTTAGGCGGTAACGGGGAGAACTATGGGTCAGGCAGGCTTCGAAGAGGAAGAGAGGCGCTGTGTCACCACGCACGAGTGGGAGAAGACTGCAATACTTCTACCGTCTCTGTGGTTATCCCCTCTCAATTTTTAATGAAAATCTAACCAATTTCTGTCACTAATCAATTTTTACCACTTTTTATCCAATCAATTTTTTACCATCTCAATTTTCATCTCCTTACACTTTTTTTTCAAATGATTTGGATTTGTTTTTTCTTAATCCTAGCCTTACTCCAAAGCATGAACACCTGGAAATCAGAGTTGCTATGTTACACCTTTGGTGAATGCATATTAAGCCAAGCAAAACATTACTAAAATCTAAAAACGCATGTGACTGACCACCACAAGTCACCTAGGGCACTGCCATGGACTGTCAAGCCACACCTTCATTCTCCTTCCACCAAGACCAGAAAAGGAGCACGAGGACCGGAGCAGGGCGGCGGGAAGGCTCTGGTGCCCTAGCCCTAGTGAGCCAAAGCCCTTAGGTTGAATGGAGGGCGAGCTCACCACGGGCTACAACCTCACAGGCCAGAGACACTGTGATCAGAGGCCCCGTATTCTCTGTGAGGATCTGGAAATGCTGTTCTCATTTCAGGTGATGATGAAAGGTAAGTGTGTTCTGCCTAAAGTGGGTCACACATTCGGACTGCGTTCTACTGCGCCACCTCAGAGCTTTAGGAAAAAACTGGAGAGGCTGAGGAGATGGCTTGGCGCCATAAGCGCCTGCCTGGCAAGCACAAGGTCCCAAACTCATTCCCCAATAATGCATGCCATGCCAGCCCTGGAACCCCACCAAAACTGGACATGGTGGTGCACGGCTGTACTCCCAGCACTGGGGAGGCCGAGGCAGGAGGATCACTGTGAGCCTGAGCTGCATAGCAAGAAAAGAAAAAAAAGAAAAAGCAAGCAAAGCCAAGCAAAGCCAAGCAAAGCACTGGGATTCATGACAGAGTTGGTATGACAAGTTCTTCTTGTCTGTGGCATATGTCTGAGCAGAAGGAGTGAAATCACAGGTAAATGGGCTTTCACCTCAAGTGAAGACCAAAGAGGCACTGCCCATTGCTCAAGGAGGTCTGAGCAGGGCAGCAAAACGCGCAGGGCACTGCAGTCGGAGCTGAGAGGCTCACAGCCTCTCCAACGCGGCATCCACTTTGGAAGGGACATTGCTGGTCGTAAAATAATGTCATCTTTCTACTAAAACAGTATTACTCTTCATTTTACCAGCTTTGTTCAAATTTTTCTTTATCTCATTGTTCCATAAGAGTTGGAAGCACATGGACTTAGAAATACTTTTTGTTTAAGTTTCATGAAGATAAAAGTAACCTGAGTTAACAGCGAGGTTCTTGAGACTCTTTCTCCTTTACAAAAGAGTTACCCACCAGGCATGGTGGCACATGCCTGCAATCCCAGCACTTGGGAGGCTAAGGCAGGAGGATTGCCAAAAGTTCGAGGCCAGCCTGGGCTAAATAGTGGGACCAGGCCAGCCTGAACTACATAAGGAGACCCTGTCACAATTAAAAAAGAAGTTACCCATTACTCAAATAGGGAAAGACTGTTGGAAGAAAGGCCAGCATGCCCCTTGCTGCTGATTAACATCTCTACCACGGCATCCACCAGGGCAGTGCCTGGTGTCAGAAGGACAGAACGACGTCTGTATTTCTGAGCCTGTGCACACGCCTCATTATTACGTATGACAAAGCTTTCCTCCTGGGCTCTAGGAAACCTGGCGTGTGCTAACGCACCAACCCTCACCACACGGACTGCTGGTTTACATGGCCATTATTCACACAGTAAAGACAAACCCCAGGGCTGGGGAGATAGCTCAGCTGCTTAAGTGCCTGCCCAGAAAGCACAAGGTCCTGAGTTCAATCCCTGGCACCAAAAACAAAAAAGTACCATTAACAACAAACCCCACAATACACCTTTATAAAGCAGGCACTGCAGCATTCTAAAAGCCATTTTGCTTCTTTGGCTGCATCAAAGGAGCGCTTCTATAACTATTAACTTTTTTTTTTTTTTTTTTGCGGAACCGGGGATGGAACTCAGGCCCTTGTGTTTGCCAGGCAAGTGCTTATTCTACTGAGCCATCTCCTCGGCCCCACTATTAACTTTCTGAAAGACACTTTGGGGACACACTTAAAATTCAAAGTATGAAAAATAGAGCCAATTAAACATCAATGAGAAATTAAGGGAGTGAAGTATTTATATACTTATAATGTAAGTCTATCACTGAATCAAAGTTGACCTCTAAAGTTGAATTTGTGTTGATTTTTTTTTATTTTTTATTTTTTTCCGGAACCGGGGCTTGAACTCAGGTCCTTGAGCTTGCCAGGCAAGTGCTTATTCCACTGAGCTATCTCCCCGGCCATTTCTTTCTCTTTTTTCCTGTTGGTTGGTTGGCTGTTTGGTTTTATGGACACTTAAAATGGAAGAAGGTCTTCCTTTATATGACTTTTAAAAGCTTGAAGCTTTGTAAGTTTGCAATAAATTTAGTGACTCTTACTCCTAAGTCTCTGGGTTCTGGTAAGAGAAAGATTAACATTCGCCCTGGATGAGTGAAGGATTCTTTGGAATGAGAATTACCAACTCTGGCCTGAGCCAAGGCTAAGCTGACAAGGCCTCCTTTAACAGTCACAAAATTGCCAAAGCTTTTCATCTCCCCTACAATTTTGCCTGACTGTTTTGCAATAAACTCCACATGATCAAGAAAAATCATGAAGAACTTGATGCGTAAATAATCTTCAGTCCAAAGAGCTGCTAACAAGATCATACTGACCCATAAACTACTAAATCTTCACCTATTTATTATGTGCTCTCACGACACCTTGACCTGTGTTTGTACAATCTCGCAGAGAAACGTTGCACAGAGCAGCACTATTTATTCTGTAATTCTGTGCTGTGCGATTACGGCACTGAAAACCACAGGAGGCAGCAGAGCGGCATGATTGGGCCGGGCTGACCACATCCTCAGCGAGAGACAAAGGCTGACATGAATACTGCAGGCAATTCTGTTCCCTCTCACAGAGAGGACAGTGCCTTGGTAGGCGACACGGCCCTGCTTGGCGTTACAGTCAATTCTCTGCTTCTCCTGCGGTGGGGATGCTGCCCTGATACAGAGCCCCGAGGCCACGGCTTGCCTACGAAGTACAAGGGAAGTACAAGGGAAGTACAAGGGAACCACAGATGAGGGAAGGAAACACACCTGCTGCCCTGGTCACCAGAATTGTCTCTGCAATTCGAATGTGAAGAAACAGACTTCTAGCACAAGTGCCAAGTTAGTAAAGTAACAGCAAGACCAGTGCAACTGTAAGCAATTTTTTCAAGGTCGTGTTTTTTCCCCCTTGGGACAGAATCTCCCCATGCAGTTCAGACTGGCCTTAAACGGCCTGAATAGCCCGGGCTGGCCTCAAACTCACAGTGATCCTCCTGCCTCGGCCTCCCAAGGGCTGGGATTATAAGTATGCAGCACTATGCCTGGTTTTAGGGTGACTGTTTTATAGCAGGTTGCTTTGTACCTATGTAAAAATAGCTGTGCAGTAGCAAGTACAGTCACAAGCACTGGACCCTTCCTGCTTGGGACATAGTGCGCACTCTGGGTCACGCGTGTCCGTGTCTCCTGGAGTGCCTGGGCCACTCAGAAGCGCCTAGCCAGAGCCTCTGGGCGTCGTTCACAGGCCCTGAAGGTCGCAATCCCCACTCCAGCGGCAACGTGAGCTCCAAGCTGTGGATTTTCAGAAATATTCCTCTGCTGCTTTCCCCAGCAGAAAAGAAAAGAAAGGGCGTTGGTGTATGTTCAAAGCTGACCTTGTGAAAGCTCCCGTAGAAGATCTTCCTGATTTCGGGTCCTTCAAAAGTGACGGTTTGAAAATCCCCGGCATAGTCATAATTGAAGTATGTTAGACTTTTCCCACCATCTATTCAAACAAACAAAAATTTAGAGGTAATTAAGACAGGTGGATAATTTTTGCTAAAATTGAACTGAAGACTGATAATGCATCTGCTGTTCTGAAACTGCTTAAAATGAAAATGATGGCTAATGAAATAATTAATGCTCCTTGGGGTGCTACAGGCTTTTGGTTGGCCAAATTAAGTGGTTTCATCATGGGGGAATGTGGGGGAAGACACACCCTTCTCCTTGTGACAGGGACATCTGTGAGAGGGCGTCCCTACAGAGACAGACTCTCCCAGGACATATAACTTATGTTGCCCAGGTAAGTCATTCATTACAAACAAAGAGAAGCCTTATCCTGACCCCTTTGTATTATTAAAAATAGTTGGGCTGGCAATATGGCTCGGCAGTCTAAGTACCTGCCTGCCAAGTGCAAGGACCTGGGTTCAATCCCTGGCACTATACACTGCGCCAGCCCAGAAGCCCAGGTACGCCATGCTGGCCACCAAAACCAGGCATGGTGGTGCACACGTGTAATCTCAGAGTTGGGGAGGCTGACACAGGAGGTTCATTATGAGTCCAAGACACATAATGAGGCTCTGTACCAAATAAATAACTAAATAAATAAGGCAATATTTTCCTCACTGATGCCTATGTCACAATTTAATTCTCTCTGCTTTCAAAGTAGACTCTAGTCTTAATGATCTGAAGAGTCTTGTGAGTTCCAGGAAGTAAAAGGATTTAGTGACTTCAGCGACACTCTCGGCTAAGCCCTCCCTGAGTTTCAACAGCGATGCAAACCAGTGTTGTCACATTCTATGTTGTTGTTGATTCTTTTCCATAGACTGAAAATTCCTTTTACAAATACTGGTCATGAACAGGTTTACAATGCTCCCCTTGGCCACACATTTGCGTTGGCGCCCGTAGCACCTTCTAAGTTTTGGTCCCTGGTAGCGTTCGAATCCTGAGATTTAGGGACCTCCGTGATGCTCACCCAAGCCTTGAAGATCCTCTCACGTGACATCGCCACAGCCACCCGAGCACGACGCAGAGAAGCGGCCTCTGCTGCTCCCTCCAGACTGCCCTCCTGAAGGCAGCCTCCCTGCTTTGCGGCTGGATTCCCTCATCTTTCCAGATGCACCTTCTTGAAGCCCTCCCCCAGAACCATCACTCACATCTTACGCGCATATGACTTTCGGATTTACGTCTCTAGCCAAGAATCCCTTCCAAGCGTGACGCTGCCAATCTGACCTCCCTGAGAGAATCAACTAGGCCTTGCGCTGTTCGGCACATCGATCATTGCTTAGTGTTCAGAGACTGTCCGAATAAGTCATTCTGTGATCTACGTGGGACGGGCAGGACGGCACATCACACACATTGTTCACACATGCACACTCCGAAGTTAGACATGGGGTACACTTACTGTCTAAAATGATCCCGACCAATGGGTCAGAATTTTTATTTAAAATTTCCCAAAGAGCAAAGGGCTCCTGTGGTGTGTCAGGAAGAATCCGGAAGAGAAAGCTGATTGTGTAGTCCGAAGGCAGCCCTTCTGGATGCAAATACCTGAGGGTGGGATGAGAATACCATCTTATCATATCTTTCCTTCAACAGTTTTTTTTCTCTGATTCCAAAGTACATATACTTTCATAACACAAGCTTTTGAAAAAAAAAACAAAAGAAGAAGATTGCCATTAATCCAAGACAGATTCTTGTTTTGACATGGTACAGAAATTTTCTGGGCTTCAATCCCCGGTGTGTCATGCCAGTCCTGCCCCCGGGGTGCGCTGAGATGGTGACTGAGACTGGGCATGATGGCGCGTGCCTATAATCCCAGCGCTTGGGAGACTGAAAGCAGGAGGATCACTACAAGTCTGATCTGTGTAGTGAGACCCTGTGGACCCTGTCCTAAATACATAAAAAAAAATATTTAAAAATTTTTTAAAAGAAACTTTCTTCTCTTTTTTAAAGAATGCATGTTTGCCCAATTTATGTCATTTTGTCCCATTATTTCCTTAGCATCATTTAATAAGCATTTTTCATGTTCTTTAATTGTTTTTAGCATTATGAATCAAACCCAGGGCCTCAAACATGCTAGGCAAATTCTATCACTAGGCCTATTTTTCTTAAGTATTTTTCAGAGCATGGTATCTAATAGTCACAGTCTTGTGCACTAGTTCATAATATTTGTAATAAACAGTCACTCCTCATAGAAAATTTCAACAGTCTCCAAAGCTTTGCTGTCATAATAATTCTCCACACCTCACTGGTAAAGTCTGGGCTTTTGCTGCTTTCTGCCATGTGACAGCAGTAGTGCTTCTACTGTGCTCAGATTTCAGCTCACATGTGGCTCCACCTCCAAGAATAAAGGTTCTGTTAGCCCATTCCTGGGATGTGGTGTGCACGTATGCTGTGCTTTGCATCTAGGTGTCCCCAAAGCCTGATGCAGTCATTAGGGCGGCTTCTAGAGTTGGTGATTAATTCATGATCCAAGGCTGGAGTTATGGGTCTGAGTACTGCTGGGATTATGTGAGTGCTACACCTACACGGCAGGCATATAGGGAAAGGAGAGAGTCTGGCTTCTGCCACTCTGCCGCTGCTCCTTTCCTCCCTTTGCCTTTGCTCTTCACTATCTTCTGCCACCATGAACTGCTGTCCTCTGCCATGTGCCACTCTGCCCTGGAACCAGGCAAGTATGGACTGAAACCTCCAAAAACTGTGCGCTAAATAAACCTTTCCTTCCTTCATTTTGGGGTCGGGTATTTTGTCCCAGCAATGAGAGGTAAATAACTGAGACAAGGTAGCTGTCAGACACCGCCTTCCTTCTGGAGCTGTCTCAGCTGGAGAAAACACCTCAGCCAGGACCATGTTTCCTTTCAAAGGCTTCTCTTTTCATGTCTTATCTTCAGGGGCGTACAGGGATCAGAGCCTTTGGTCCCAGGAGAAGATAGCTCTGAAGGATCTTTCTGTATCCAGCACTCTTCTGAGGGATCACTTGGGGCTTTGCTGAAATTTTGTATCACACAATTACTCCTCTGTCCTGTGCTGCTTTTTATTCTGTCTCCCATGAGAGCATACCATCATCATTTTGGTGCCCATCTAGTGTGCTCCTAGGAATTCGCTTGGGGGGTGGCTTCTAGAACCTTCCAGAACTTTCCTAAATCTTATCTCTCTTTTTAGTACTTCTTTGCTTTTAATCTTCACTCCAGCAAAATAATGCAAATAAAAGTAACCTTTCACATATAGTAAAAACACCATAATAGTTATTAATTGAGAAATGAATTTGTGAATATAAGGAAATTTAGCATGAATTTGAGAATGGAAAGTTGCCTTGCACAGATAGAAACAAGCATTTCATTCATTCATGTATATATTTTATTCATTTCTTATTCAGTAAATATTTGAGTGTCTCTGAGGCATCAGCTACAGTAAAGGGCATTTAAGACCCATCAGTTAATAAAACTGACAAAGACACCTATTCTTGCAACACTTCAATTATAATAGGATGAATTACACAGCGTCTTAGAAGGTCATACAATTCTGCTGAGAAACAATAAATCATCTTAATAGAGATGGGGACTTCTGGTGGCAGATTATGCAGTTTTAATGAAAGCAATCGGGAGTGGCTCATTGAGAAACTCATTTGAGCAAACCTCCAGTGCAGCATGGGTCCCAGAGGAGGAAGTGTGTGTGTCACACGTGGGTGACAGTCTCCTGACACAGGGCTAGGCACTCCTGATTGGTTATAGCACGCTGAGCGGAGTCTTGGAGAGATTTTTCCCTAGTGATTCTCATCATGGAGAGGATTCCCGGATTTATGGACTATAAAATTTACCCCAAGAAAGTGTGAAAAAATATCCTTTCAAAAAGGAACATGGTCTTTGGGCTTATGTTAAAACCATACATAACATATAACTCAAAGTTGTTGGCACACATCTGCAATCCCAGCACTCAGGAGGCTGAGGCAGAAGGGCAGTTGCGAGTTCAAGACCAGCCTGGGCTTCAAAGTGAGCTCAAAGCCAGCCTGAACTGCATAATGACACCCTGTCTCCCCACAGCACCCCCCCCCACAAAAAAGAAAAGAAAGCCAAAAAAACTAGCTGAGTCTACCATATTTTTGAAAATAGAACTGATTTTCTACAACAACAAACATTTTAAATCAGCAGAAGAGGTCTACTGACTTCACATGTCATTCCCTATGACAACACACGAAAGGATGTGGATAGCAGGGTGGGATCTAATAAAGACTCTCGTGAAAAGCAGCAAGCAACTGCTGCAAATTGGACACATACATTTAGGCCTTTAATGTGACTTCCCCTATTTTCCATGTCCATGTATATGGTCTGTCAAACTGAAACAATGCAAAAAACGCTTCAAAGCAAACACTGACTGTTTCCAGCAAAACAAATGTGGATTTGGACTGTGTTGTGCCCGGTGGAGCTGGGCCCAGTGCCTTTCCAGCCAGGCCCCCTGGAGGCACAGCCCAGCATCCGCTGTGGTGGGCATGGCTGCCACAGCCCCTGGCACCCCACTGACTGCACACAGGGGCACAGAACCTGGCTCTGCCATTCCCTTGCCCCGCTGGCACGGCTGTGACTTCTCAAGGATAAAAGACACCTGAAAGATGACACCACTGTGAGCCAGCCCAGGGCCTGCGCTTGCACTCTGCCTGCCACTGATCAGCCTGTGTGCTCTGAATCACACATCTACGGCATCACTTGTAAAATTGAAATAATTAGTCAGGCGCAGTGGTGCACACCTGTTGTCCCAGCACTTGGGAGGATGAGGAAGAAGGGTTGCCCCAAGTTCAAGGCCAGCCTGTGCTACACAGTGAGTTCAAGGCTACCCTTAAGCACATAACAAGGCCTTGTCTAAGAAAATAATAAATTTTTAAAAACCCAAATAAAAAAAGCAAAAATACACAAAATAATATAGTCATCTACTTCATAGAGTTTTCTGGAGTATGGACTAGTCCACATAAGCCTATATTGCATATTGTGGTGCAATGTAAGTAGCAACTATTTTTGTTGATTTTCTCAGGTGAACACAGGTTAAAATTCAATCAGCATTATATGTGAGTCTGATTTTTTATTTTTATTTATTTATTTTTCCTATGGTCAGCTCAGCCCACCCTGGGGGCGGGGCTAGCATGGCATGTGGTGCTGGGGATCGAACTGGGGTCCCTGCATGCTTACCTAAGCAGGCGCTTTAGACCACTGAGCTATCTCACCAGCCTGAGTCTGATTTTTTTAAAACAAAGAAATGTAAACATCTGCTCAAAACATCATGGAAAGTATCACCAAGAACACCGTCCACAGTTCAGCACAGTTCAGATTGCCCTCAGCTGAGTACTGAGCTTCAATAAGCACAGAAACATACTTGGTCGGCTGCGAGACCAGGGCATCTTTATGCAGCTGGTAACATGGATACAGGTTGAAGGTGCCAGGCTCCATGGAAACCCCTGCCACTGATGAGAAGTCCTTTTCAACCAGACCGAACATTTCCATCATCTTAAATCCTGAAACAGAGAAATGAATGGTGAATGAGAGACAGAGAGAGAGAGAGAGAGAGAGAGAGAGAGAGAGAGAGAGAGAGACAGAGACAGACAGACAGACACAGACAGAAGCCTGGACCCCAAATGGGAGTTAACATATTTGCAGTAGGAAACCCTGCAACAAAGCATACCTGCAATATCGGTGCCATCCCTGTGCACCATTGGGCAAGCTGGAAAGCAAAATAAACAACATAAAATCCCAATCTGGGCATTTTCCAGACGTCCTTATCCCTGTTGTAAGCACAGGAAACTAGCACCATTTTGCCAGAAGTCAGCCATGGAGTGACTCCGAATCCTGTGGCTGTGGTTTTTTTCTCATCTTGTGCAGACTGACATACTCTACTGACCCTTTTTAAAACCAAAAGCTCACCACTTCCGTCTCCTGCCCGGAGCTCAGGGAAACAATGGGTGCTACTTGAGCACGTGTGTTGAGAAACGGCTCACTGTAAGGGGTTTCCTGGGCGAGTGCACTCAATACATTTTTGAAGGCTATTTCCTGCATTTATTTAAACTCAGTGCCTCTTAGAAATGGGCTGAACTGTCTGTGGAAGGTCTTCATCTATCCAAAATCCTGCAGAGAGGCAGGCAGGGTGAGACCATCTATTCAAAACCATAAAATTGCATGTCTGCGTAACAAAACAGCTCAGGAAAATAATACTCTTTGTTCAAAACGAGGCTCATTACTTAACCAATATTTGATATTTCAGACTTTATTTTTCTATTTCCATTTTTTAAAATTTTTATTTATTTATTTATTTATTTATTTGTCCTGTCAGAGGTGAATATTGTATTGGCATCTAAATACTATAAGTGTTTGAATTCAACCAAACATCTAATACTGTCTAGCAGTCTATAATATTAGTGGGTTATCCTCAGAAGTTATTGACTTGAGCCTTTTACAGCTCTTCGTATTAATATGGATTTACTTTATATACCTCATTTTTATACTTTTCTACTGGATGGTTAAGACCAAGATATAGCAAGACCTAGATACCCAGAAATGTAACTTTTGTATCTGATAAGGTCAGCCAAGTACTCTCAGGATTTATCCGGGAGCCCTGTACCACCTTTTGTACATCCTTTTGTCAGTGTCTGACCTGAGGATGAGTCATGGCCGAGTCATGGCCAATTTGCTCTCTGTGAAAGCTTGAGAAAATGTTTTTTCTCTCCATGTGACTCTCCCCAGGCTCACTTTAAATCCTCGAACACATTCCTCTGTGGCTCCATAATCCTCTTGATCAGAAAATCTGGAGCACAACTGAGTTACATGTTGCTACAGTACAGGTTCTCCTATGTCCCGAGTCTTCACTGTCCTTGAAAGGCTAGAGCCAAAATGTTGGCTAATCATGCAGCCCTTCTTTTTCTCCAAATTTTGATCTTCTAACTTAGGTTGTTTACCCTCCAGAAGAGAAGCTAATTATTAACCTGCAATATATGCAGTATTGTTTATCCTATCTGTAGATATTTCAGACTTTAAACAGCGTGAGAAAGTACTCATCCCAAAGAACTAACTTGCTGATGCAGCTTCACAGACAAAAGTAATTAATTCATCTTCAATTTTCTTAAAGGCGTCAAAGTCATCCACAAAGAACACGTGGCGGGCACTCGGCTTGCTGCCGATGCTGACCAGCTCCGAGTAATCCGCGTCGGCCACGCCAATGGCAAAGATGTTGTAGCCTGTGGCAGGAGAGAACCAGACTGCTGAGCCTTTCAAAATGCAAATACAAATCACACAAATACAAGCTTTTGAACGTGCAAATGTTTAAAACATGTTTACTGTGAGCAGCCCTGTGGGGTGGCTGATTCACCCTTTACAGCTCATCAGGACCGTGCGCTTTTGCATTTCATTTTCTGATCATTGTTCTATCATTGCCTAAAGAAATTTTCCATTTTAAAGACACTCAGCGAGGCCAACGCGGCAGCAAGTGCTGGAGACCAAACAGTTCCCAGCTGAGTAGCGTCTTTATGGCTGCATGTTTTTAATAGTGATTTAACATTTATGGGACAAGGTACAGTATGTTGAAGCAATTATTTTAGTTTTTCTTTTTTTTTTTTCATTTCAGAAGTAGAAACTAAGACAGGCAGAGCAAGCTGGCCATCACTCAAAGCTTGGCAAATAAAGATGAAATTACTATTTTCCAGGTATGTTTAAATTTTCTTTTTTCAATGTATTTAGTACAGGGCCTACAGGGCCTCACTACATAGATCAGAGTTGTAGTGACCCTCCTGTTCTCAGCTTCCCAAGCGGTGGGATTACAGGTGCGTGCCACCACACCCAGTCTCAATCACAGCCTCAGTGTGCCCCAGGGGCAGGGCCAGCACGGCACACCGGGGATCGAACCCTGGCCATTGTGCTCTGCCTAAGCACGCATTTTAGTCTGCTGAGCTATCTGGCCAGCCCTCTCTCTAATAAAACTGTATAATTACAGTTTTGTAAGCAAGAAGGCATTTTTAAAATCACATGTCCAGTGTTAAAAAAAAAAAAAAAAAAAAAGCTTTAGAAACACGAGTAGAGCTGCTGTAGCCTGTTGTAAATCTCTATTTAGTAAACAACACGGTAGCTACCATGGCCAGAGCTGCCCCCTCACCATCTGCCTGCATCTCCCTGCAGATCCTGTCCACTTCGTCCTGTGACCTCCCGTCCGTTATCACCACGATGACCTTTGGGACGCCTCTTCTCGTCCCTGCCTCTACTGCAAACAAGCTGTCTCGGACGTGTTTCATGGCTTTTCCTGTAACAAACACAGGCAACAGATCAATTGCACACCTTCGCATTTTTGTTCTGCTGGAGGGAATAGAGCAGGAACAAAATTCTCAAATAAAATAAAAATATTTAGAAATTACTGTCCTCTGGAAAAGCCATCATTTCCATCTTTCCTCACAGTTCAGGGCCGGGCGTTTCTTGGTTTACCTGTTTTTGTATTCCCCCCTTTATAGGAAATGCGTGTAATCGCATCAAGAAGCGTCTCCTTGGTCTTGTAAGCATTTAGTTTAAATTCTGTCCTGGGGTCATCGGTAAACTGAACCATCGCCACCTGGAGGGAAAAGGCGTGTGCGCTGTTACACACGTGTGGGCCGGAGAACATACAGCAGCATGGTTGTCACCTACAATTGTGATTTTTTCCTTCACCCATTCCACGTGCTTCCTCAATTAAATGCCATACATGTCACATAACAAACTTGAAGACAGAGTAAATGGTCCAAGAACTTTTTAGAAACTGGCTGAATTTTTGCTTTTGTTTTAACCTTTCTCTACAGCACACACTGTCACCACCACACTTGACAAGTGAAAGTGGTTTCCAATGCCTGTTACATGGACACATGCCAGAGAACCAGGACAGGATTTCTTACAAGAATGTCCTTATGGAGCAACTTATCAAGTAATTCTTAACTATTCTACCCATTTAGATGAGCAAATTGAGGCACTAGAAATAAGTTACTTGCACAGTATCTCCGGGGCTTGCCAGTGGCGGAAATGCCAATTCAAGCCAGGTGTATTTTATTTCAAAACCTGTGGACTTATACACCACAATATAAACCTTCCTGGCTTCATTTTCAACTTTTGCTATTATTCATGGAATACTTTTTTGAGCCCTTTTAAATTAATCTTTTGCTTATTTTTCAGAGCTGTGAACCATATATTTGTTGAATGAATAAATTAATTTCATGTTGTGTCTGACCTGTAGTAAGCTATGACCATCTATTCCACCTTGCAAAATGTTTATGTCCCACGGGGGGTAGGGGTAGGACGGGAACACTCTACTGCCAAAGGAGACATTCTGCACTTGCCTATAAAAGAAGCGTCCCTGACCTGCTCTTCCTTCCGCGCAGTGCTAGTTTGCTGAGCTGAGAGCCCCCGAGGATTCACACCCTCTCCTTCTAGTTCCTCGCTCGCTTCCCCCAGGAACTGTCAGAATCTCGGCTCTCGAGGCCATTTCTGGTAGGCGGCAGAGTCAGCCACACCCCACGCCTCACCTGAGTTCCATCCGCGCCAATCTTGTTCAGGGCGCCGACCGTGCTATAGAGGAAGTTGATGATCTTGTTGAAGTTGTCATCTCCGATGCTCCAAGACCCGTCCACCATGAACACCAAGTCGGCCTTGGCAGCTCTACACACTGACAACCAAGAACAAGTGTGAGTCAGGAATGGACCGAAGAGCCCGTCATTTTTAGCCAGGGAGACGCTCCCTCTCACAAGCTGGGACTAATGCTTGTCTCCAAAGCACGATGCTGGCTAAGATTTGTCACTGGAGCTCCTGCTCCTGACGCTTCCTCACCATCACCTCTCCTTTAAGCCCACAGGATACCAAGACAGAAGCATCGGCAAGCGCACTCCAGCACACAGGTGGGAGGGAAGCCAGCGGCCCTTGCTCTGACTCAGTTTCCATGTATGGAGTTGGTAAGTCAACATCAAAGGGATCTGAGTCAGAAAGCAGGCACAGACGTGGTAGGAGGGATTCTCCTACAGCTCCGTGTGCGCTGTTTTGATTCCAATGTTGTTCAAAAAATTTGTTATGCTCTGCACCAGCCATAGGTGTGTGTCAAGCAAATACAATAATGCTAGCACTGGGAAACCATTATTGGTATGTGTTAGGGTTTGTGTCTAGGTGTCCCCTCAAAGCCTCATGTAGTCACGGAGTGGACTTCTAGAGTCTGTGATTAACTCATGATCCACTGGGATTATGGGTGTGAGTGCTGCTGGGATTATGGGTGTGAGTGCTGCTGGGATTATGGGTGTGAGTGCTACTCCCAATCTGGGGCAGATGGCCTGAATGACACTTAAGAAAGACAGACTTGCTCTCTGTAGCCACTGTTGCTTCTACTCCGCCTTTTGCTTTCTTGTTCTTTGCCACCACCATGAAAGGCTTCCCTCTGCCATGTGCCGCTCTGCCTTGGAGCCAGCCGAGTACAGACTGAAACCCTTGCTGACTGTGAGCTACATAACCCTTTCCTTCCACCATTTGGGGTGTTGGGCATTTGTCCCAGCAACGAGAGAAGAGTAATGAGACAGTGTGGCTGAGGGACAGCAACATAAGGGACAAGCCATGTGGCCCCCAGTAAACTTCCACAGTACCAGTGCCAGCCTCGGCCACCGAAAGCTGACGTCCCAAGCCCTGCATCTGCACCCTGTGCTGCTCTGCCTCAGCTCTGCCGCCCTACTTCCTGCTGGTGGAGGTCACCAGGGTTGGTTCTGTTTTATGATGAAACCAAACAAAGTAATTGGGTTTTCACTAATTGGAATCTTTTGATCATAGGCCAGTTGCACAGAAATATCCCATGAAATAAGGTGTCCTTTCTTTAAAACAAGCTGAGTTTCCATTTTATTCAGGGCAATGCCATTCGCTTGGAGCTACTTATAATGTAAGATAAACCATCTCTGAATGAGAAAAGTAACTCCAGGGTCAGGAAGTGTGTGATCAAGTTGTGCTCATAACTTCTGTGATTTATAGAATTTTACCGACTTGCAGTTTAAATCTAATGCCACAGAGAATCAAAGGTCTGCCTCTTATATTTATTTTTTTAAAAAAGTCCTTTGTTTTCAAGGAAAGATGAAAAGAAAAACAAATTTCATCTTCAAACTGAGTGCAAAATCAATTTTAGAATTTATTGATGAAACATTTACCCCATGAGTCAGAGAAGATGTACCAACATGCATGAGGAAGTTGCCTCTGGGATATGAATCTATGTTTTTAATTTTCTCCTTTAAACTTCCTCTTGCCTTTTAATGTGTGTTTCGTGAGCATTCTTCAGTAATAGCACTCCACGTGCTCTTACCCAAGGGCCACGTGGACAACCAGCCTACAGTGAATGGCGCATTCTAGTTGCAAAGCCCTATCAGGAAGCCATTACCAGGAGCACCTTAGCCCCAGAGCTCCTGCCATGTGGGTCTTTCCATCACCGACCTTTCCAAGTCAGGTCTTCCGCCAGCATCCATGAGGGCTTACTGAATTAACCCAGCCTCTCTGATCCATAAAACATTCCTACCTCAGAGCATTCTGGAATAGCAAAGTTGGAATGCCTGATGCACAAATCCACCCCCTGGGGCTGTGAGAAGCCCTAGATGTGTAGATGGGAGCCAGCAGGTGACACGGGGGGCTTCCAGGTGGATGAACTTCTGCGGCTGCAGCACAGCACAGCACAGGGCTCAGGCGCTCCACAGTGAGCGTGCTGCCCCGCAGCTGGAGGTGGGCTGTCTCAGCATCTCATCTCCTCTGACTCTCCAGCCCTTGCTTCCTGCAGCACCTGACCTCGCTGACTCTTGGCTCTGTGTATGAGAGGCTGTCTCTTTTTCCCCTGTTTTACTGATGCAACAGGCACTGCAAGATGCATGGCAAGTGGAGCTTTTCAAATCCAGCCTCCAACCGTAAGCTCTGTCCTCGCCTCCCTCCTCCTAAGCCTCTGGACTCCACCAAGGCTCTGTTCTTGCCCAAAGGCCGCATAGGACACCCACCCTTCGTGTCCCCTCCCACAGCACACCAGCTCCTGCAGGGCAGGGCTCACACTCCCCACCTCCCACCTCCACAGGCCACGCCCCCTCTGCATCTCACCAAGGCCCTGATGGCAAAGCCCAACACACTATCACCCAGTGTACTGGGAGCGGCACCCATCCCAGGCTGGTTCTTCAGGGCCAGACAAATTCTCCTTTGTGAGTCTTTCTACTGCCACAGCGTAACTATTCTCATTCCTGGAATGGCATAGCACAGTCTCTAGTTTCTAACTCTTACCCTCGCCTGCTAATTATCTGCAAGAGAAAGAGCAGAGGGCTGTACTCATGAAATATTACTGCATCCCCCAGGCCTGGCCCAAGAGCTCAGTGAATAGTTTCCCCCCCGGTACCAGGGATTGAACTTAGGACTTTGCACTTGCCAGACAGGCACTTACACCACTGAGCTATATCCCCAGCCCTGAGCTCGGAGAATAATTAGGTTAAAAAATGTTTATTAGTGAAATTAAATAAATTAACAATCAGTACCTTGTTTAAAGCTTTTTTTCTCTTTCACAGTATGAAAATCAAACCCCAAGCACCCTACCACTGAGCTACATCTCTGGCACCATGCTACCACCTTTTTTTTTTTAAAAAAGTTTGAGATAAAGTCTATTTAGGTTGCCGAGGCTGGCTCCAAATTTCCGATCCCCCTGCCTTAGCTTCCCAAGTAGCTGATGCAGGTGCCACAGTGCCTGGCAGAAGGCTTAAAACAATGACCTTGAGGACCAGCATGATAGCTCCGTGGACTAAGCGCCAGCTTTTGCAAGTGGAAGGACCAGGGTTTGAAACCTGGTTTCACATGCCGAACCACCGGCCCCGCCTTCAGGGCATGCTGAGCCGACTGAGTCCGGGTGCAGAGGTGCATGCCTGGAATCCCAGTGCTCGGGAGGCTGAAGGCAGGAGGAGCACTATGCGTCCGAGCTGCGTAGGGAGACCTTGCACCAGATACATAAACGAAAACAATGGTCTTAAGAGCAGCAGTGCTGGGAAGCTAACCAGAGGAGGGCGCGTCCAGAGAGGGGAGCCTAAGGCCTTTCTGCCTGAACTCGGGGCTCACCACGGTACTGACCCCAAACCAGACCATGAGAACCAAATCAAGCTCCCCCATAAGGTGGACTTTGAACCTAACCACTGAATTTGATTCAGTTCTCATCTAACTTGGTTTGCAACCATAACGGTAAAAAAAAAAATAAAACTAGTGTGCTGAGGTAGCGCTGTATTTCAGTGGCAAGCTGGGAAATGGCTGCCCTTGATTTCAGAACCAGAGGCTCACTTTCACTTACAGATCAAATGACTGTTCTGCCCTGGAGAAAACTGACTGATATTTTCAATGAAGTCAGTGTTAAACAAATCTGTTAGAAATGCCCACTCTTTATATACAGAATTCATCAGTAAATGGGTAGGTCTTTAGCATCGGTAGGAAGGAGACAGTGAGGAAGTGAGGTAGGACAATGGGCACCTTTTATTAATACCTTGGTTTTAAGTAAATAAAAGTGAAAGAGGCCCTCCACCAAGGAGCGCATCGACATTGTGTCATTCCCTTACCTTCTCTGGCTGGTGGGATGGTTGGAGGGACAGTTGGTGGCTGGGTAGGACGGGATCCTGCAAAGGAAATGAGGGGGGCATCAGTGGGTTACCTCATCTGCAGAAAGCAGAAAGGTGCCGTTTGGGGGTGTCAGCGGCCATGGCAAGTGTCTTCTTTGGAGAATCAAGTGACTTCCGTAAGGCAGCCTCAGCCTGTGAAAACTGACCGCAGCGTCTCTCGCCCTCAGCCCCGAGGCTCCAAGGCAGTGGTGCCGTAGTGCAGCTCTCCCAGCAGCAGTGCGGGCTACCGAGCTGTCAGCCACAAAGCGGTTCTCACTGACCCAAGGCAGGAGCCCCGCCAACCCATGCAGATTCCGCTTCTGGCTGCTGTCCTGCACACAGGCAGCTTCATTCCTACCCTGCCCCACTAAGGCCGGCCACCCATCTTGCTTCCAAAGGACTTTTGCCCCTCACGCCCTACCCTAGCTCTAGGACGCTGGTTTCCAGCAGAATGCGGTTCACCCTCTACTCTGCAGAGCCCCTATCTGGAAAATGTCTTTCTGAGCTGAGGACCAACTGTAAGACATGGGCGAGCTTGTGTGTCCACAGCTTTTTGACCTGGATGGATAGGAGAGCTGTCTGCACACATGCTGAAGTGTGGGCTGATGAACGGACCGGAAGGTCCCTCAGAGGAGGGACGCATGCCAGCACCCGTGGCAAAGTACCAGGCAGCGACGGTGTCACCGGGAAACCCATGACATGTGACCTTGCGCTGAATTCTTTTCTATTCCTCCTTGACCCCTGGCATGTAAGGAAGGCTGAGACAATTTTCTTCATCCCAGCTTGAAATTTGGAAAGGCCTCTGCCGACCCTAGCCACTCACCAGGGCGATGTCCAGCCCCGGGAGAGAGTAAGCAGCAAACCCCAGAGGACTTGTGTTGAGGAGAGCAGGCATCTGCCCGAATGCTGGGGAGGAATTCGTTCACTGGCAGGGCCATTAGAAAAGATTGATTCTAGGGACTCTCCCAATTCTGAGAACCAATAAAATAACATTACTTAAATAAAGTGATTTGATGCTAAAAGAATGAGGTAACTGTACATTACTAAGATGGAAGAATGTTCAAAGCTACTTATGTGAAATAAAGCATGTCACAGGATACTACAGCATGACCCCATCTGTGTAAAAGTGAAAGAATTTCTGGAAGGAAACTTCAGGGACAGAAACAGAGATTTCTGGAAAAGACAGAGAGCGGTGCAACACCCGCGCTCTTCCACGCTTCTGCTACCCTACTATGGATACGGGCACTGCTGTTTGAAGGGAAACTTTTCTTCTAAGCTAAAAAGTTCCAAGAGCAAATTGAGAAATCTTAGTCCTAAAACTAGAATTGCAAAACTTTTCTTGAAAGCTCCGCAGAACGCTTTCAAAACCAGATTTGTTCATCTTAGCACCAGTGGAAGGAGCGCACCAGCCTCCCTCATGCCGAAGGTTGAGGCGTACCCCGAGTTCAGCCAAGAAATCCGGAGCCCAATCAATAAGAGGAGATGGTGGCCACATCAGAACATCTGGCCTCAGACTCCTGGGTAAGAGGAGCACTGGGAACAGATGTTCAGCCTCTCTGTGTGGCATGCAGATGTCCCTGCCTTTGAGTGGGTGCGGTGCTGTCACAGTCAAAGGAGCAGTCTGGGGCTGGCTTACATCATGGGCTGGCCCACAGCCAGTGGGCGGAAGCTACAAGGAGACAGATGTCCATAGCATGAGGACATTTCCATGCGACAAGCTGTCCCAGCTGGAGTTAGCGCTCAGGTGGGAGTTAGCAGCTGTAGGGCCAGGTGAGCAGATCTCGAAGCAGACCAGGGGCCACAAAGCAGAATGTCTGTAGTGGTCAGGCGAGCCATGACTATGCACAGAGAACCAGAGAACGCAGCCTACAGGCCCGAGGGCGCATGCGCTGGCCGAAGAGCCTGCACTAATTGCTTCCAGCAGATTGGCACCGCAAGGAAGCCTGGCCCTGTACTGCAAGATGGTCTGGGCTTTCAAAAGTATTTTTTTTTTTTTTAAGTAAGGCTCAGAGAAAACATGTCTGCTGGTGAGGGCCAGCCCCACAGCTGCCAGTGCAAGAAGGTAACAATGTGAGGACAAAAGGCACTCGACAGCTACGCCTTTCTTGTCACCAGTGGGGGGAAGAAAGGAGACCTTTCATTGTATTGCTGAGCAGAAAGAAGCTCACAGGTGCTGAATGACACAAGGCCACAGTGCTCCAAAGGGACACAACAACAGCCTCAAACAAACCTAAAGGTCTGGCCCTGAATCCTACACACCACCTTCTGCATGAGCCAGAAAGGCCGAAACAGCTGTGCGTGAGACTGGTCTATGCACACGCCAACGCACAACAGGATTGCCAAAGAAGCCTCTGCGTCTTTGGCCATAAATCCTCAGTGGTTCTGAGGATAACGTCAAGATACAGATTTGAACACACACGCGTCCACACCACCGAAACCACCTTCACGCTCCAGGCCTGCAAGGCCAGGGTGCCCCCCGCAGAAGCACATGTAATCCTCGCTCTCTGCTTTCATTTTGTGCTGCGCCTTTGCCTTTGGGGGGTGAGGTCCACAGCCAGCTCGGAACACACAAGAGCCCCTTCAGAGGCGACAGCTCCGGGGTCACCCTGGGGGAATCCCTCGGCACCCCTCCCCCTGTGCGACCTTGCTTAAATGTCAGGGCCAGGCCTCCACCTCCAGTCCCCTCCACGCTTTACCCCAGATCACAGTGTAGGGCCTTGTTCCCAGGGCGCTGCCCTCACGTGACCAGACAGCCCCAGGAGCATGACTGCAGACGGGGCAGAAGCCCGTGCTCAGGGCCTCGGGCCGTGTGCAAGGAAGGCGGGCCGGAGCCGAGAGCAGCACTGGCACCATGTGCATTCCTGAGCAGCAGGGCTATTTTTCTAAATGGAATAAAGTTTTAGATCTAAAACAGACACCTGGAAAGCTTTTGGTTCCTTTCCAGGGGACCAGGAGAGAGGACGGCGGACTCACGTGTTCGCTCCGTTATGCTCACGCTCGGGCCCTCGAGCTCCTGGAGCTTGGTGTAGATGCTGATTTTATACTCGGAGTTAGGCTGAAGTCCGTAGAAGCAGTGTCTGTTGGTCCCTCCTCCCACAGTGGATTCTTGCTTCTGTGTATCTATAACAAACACACACACACACACACACAGAATTTTCAAGAGAAATCACGGGCATGTGATTTGCTTGGAAAATGCATAATACGCGTGGTCTGTATCAGATAACTACAGAATGAATTACACTTGTTTGAAATATTGTACGTTTTTCTAAAGATACATCCCTTGATTTTGTCCTATTAAAAATCATATTCTATATGTCTAAAAAGAAAACTTACTATTAAGAACCCCAAGGTCACACTTCTGAGGGAAAAAAAACTATTAATGCACACAATTATATACACAATCTAAACTGACCTGGGCACAGGGGTGGTTGTATCTTAATTTTTTAAAATTGTGAATTAAAAAAAAATCTTATTCAATATGATTCTCCAGCACACAGTCCCATGATTACAGAATGACAAAAAGATATATAATTTTCATTCTCTCAACTTATTACTGTATAGCAGGGCTCCCCGCCAGCCCGGGTCCACGGGGCATTGAATTAGAGATCGCTGGGAGGCCCTCATGCCTTCTGTCTAGGAGGGGACTGCAGGGTCTCAGGTGCCTCACCCTTGGGTCCAGACTGGCCGGAGCACAAGGCAGCACCAGGATAATCAGGGGTCCCTGGACAGCCCCAGCACCTCTTTCTGAGCTTGGACTTTTTCTTGACACCCAGCTTTATCACAAAGGAGACTTGAGAACTCAGGAGAGACTTTGGGAACTCCCAACTCCAGGATGGCCCCAAATCCTTTCCTACTCTCTGAAAATCATAATGGAGGAAATAGACACAGTGCGTAAGTGGCCAGGGTGCTACTGAGCTGGCTCCCAACTCCTCGCCTTGAAGTCCTTTTTCTTCCTCCAGTGAGCCATGTCACAGCAGTCGTACTCCAACCAATGCACTTTCTCTGTCTCCTCCACAATGGCAGAGCCACAAAGAACTTCGGAGGCACAAAGAACCTGGCCCCTTTCTCCATTCCCACGTGCCCCTGAGACGGTGCAAGCCCTGCCCGAGGAGTCAGTCCCAGCCTGCGAGTCACACCCACTGTTTCTGGAGGGTCACACCCACTGTTTCTGGAGGGTCACACCCACTGTTTCTGGAGGGGTTGCTGTTTGCAGTTGCAATGCTTCATGCTTGAAGTTAACACAATCACCCACGCTTCGTGAGTGCTTGTCACATGCCCGGCAATATTCTGAGGACATCTGCCTCGCCTCAGCTGTCCTTGTGACATTTATGATGATCCAAATCTAAATAGAAGAAGCCCAAGATCAGAAGGGTCAGCCAGCCCGAAGGCCACTGCTCAGGAGCAGAACTGAGGTTGAAACGCAGGCCGTGACGCGCAGCCCGAGAGGCTGTCGCCTTCCCTCCCACAGGTGTAGCGCACAGCAATGGCCACTGGACGCACAGGTATTCCAGATGAACCCGTCTGGCGCCACTGGACGTGGCCTGTTTAGACTTTAATTACCAAAAAGTTTCAAGTGGGGGTTTTCTTCCAGCAGAGTGTCCACCTCCACCACAGGGGCTGACTGAGAAGAGGAACTGGGATCACCATGAAAAGAACCACTATTTAAATGTCCGTGCAGCCGGGGAGGTGCCATGGTGGTCCAGAGCAAGGACCTGTGTCCGATCCCAGCACCGCATGCTGTGCCAGCCTGGCACCAGCCACCAACACCAGGCATGGTGGTGCACACCTATAATCCCGCACTGGGGAGGCTGAAACAGGAGGATCACTGTGAGTCTGAGCTGTGTAGCAAGACCCTGTACCAAATAAATTAATGAATAAAAGATTTTTTTAAAAATGTCTGTGCAGATTAATTTTCTCATCTGTAAACTGCATTTGTTTAAGCTTTATAAAGCTTAATTTCTAGAAATTTAAATTTTCAGAACTTCATTGATTAAATACTTTACACATACTATTTAATGGTTAAAGATAACCAGCCACTCTTCAAGTGTTATTTCCAGAAGTTTATCAGAAATAAACTATATATAAATATATATATATATATATATATATATATGCACACAGCTCTTTTTTTTAAGTGCAAATTGTAAAAATATCCAATGATTTTAGTCTGCTTAGAAAGTATACTTAGGTAAACTTCATTTTATATTTTAATATACACATTATGAAATGTGTACATTTGTATAGATTTCCCAGTGTGTATATATCAGAATATTGGGTCATGGAAAAATCCCTACCTTTAAAACCATGACTACATTAAGCCACATGGAAAATGAAACTGAAATGCAGGACTCGTAAAGGGTTTTGGAGGTAAGCTTTGCAGTGTGACCCTGATCAGTACACTTGTTCCCAATGATGTTTCCTTTACGATCACTTTTCATGTTGTATAAAATGGTGAAATAAAAGTTGGTGAAGTATTTATGAGATTATACATTACCATGAAGGAAGTCTGAGTCAAAGTGAAACGTCGCCGACCTTGTAGTCCCAGGTCGGCCCCCGCAGTCCCCAGCACAGCTCCTCTCTGGCCCGTGGCCTCCCTGCCCGGCCCTTGGGAGGAAGCCTTGGGGACCTTTCTCACCACCACCTCCTGAGTCCTACACACAGACACATGGACCTGAGTCAAACAAGCCCTCTAGGGCCTCTCCAGGGGATCCACTCTAGACAGCACCGTTCTGCCCTTTCCTGCTCCTGCTGGCTGTCCAAAAGAAAGTCATCTATTGATGACAGAATAGTAACGGACCTTACTTTTAAAAATAATAAGTCTATAGCCATTGGAAAACTGGAACAGGCACTGCAAAGTTGATGGCAAACAGTACTGATTTGATTCCCAATACTAACAAAGAGGGGCTACAGGGTGGGGGTGTGCCATGTTGCTTTTGGCATGTAACACTCAAGCCCAACGGCTCCGTCTTAGAGGATACAAACTGATCGAATCATGACTAATTTCTTCAACTTGTTATGCCAAGAACAGAAAGTTAGTTTTTGGAATAAGGGAAAAACTTCTGCCTTCATTTGTGCATTCATTTCTCTTCCAGGAATCCAAGCTAAATTCCATCGTCTGGATGACTATCATATGGTTGACGCCACCAACCCGACACCCCAAAAGGTGCAGTAATAGCTCCCGAGAGCCACGAGCAAAGGTATTTGGGATCCGAGTAAGCACTTGGCTGGAATTTCCTAACACATTTCTATTTCCCAGAGCTCACCAATAGAGCCTCATTACTTCGAAAGGTTTTCTTCTTTTTTTTTTTTTTTTTAATTTTAGGGAAGGGTCTACAGGGTGTTTAGAGTCTCACTACTAGATCGGACTAATAGTGATCCTGGGATCCTTGGGAGGCCTGTTTATAGCCTCCCAAGAGCTGGGATTACAGGTGTGTACCACCACGCCCAGTCTCAATTGCCATCTCAGCACACCCGGGGGCGTGGCCGGCATGACAGGCCCGGGGATTGAACCCCTGGCCCTGCCCCTGCTTACAGGCACTTTAATCCTCTGAGCTATTTGGCTGGCTCTTCAAAAGTTTAATTTTGAGAACAGGTTTCATAATCTTCCTCGTCCTTGATGCGATTGGTTCTAAACTACACTGTAGTTGTCTATCCTTGTTAACAGCTGCTGTTGCGAACTGACATTGTGATACCTCCACAGAAGGACAGCTGGAGCATCCCCAAACTCTTCTCTATGCAGGTGACAAGGAGAAGTTCATCAAGCTACAGAGATGAGAGATGGGCAAGCGCCGGGGCCCTAGGGGCACAGAACTCTGTGGAATTGAAGGGAAGCCTGCATCCAGACTCAGGTTGAGTCCACTAAGCAGCCACGGAAGAGGTGCAGAGACCCGGAACTCCCCTGGGCTGCAGCAGCATCTGCCCCAGGTCCGACTTACTGTGGCCACTGTGAGTCTCCCACCATGGCCTGCCCTAGAATTAACCAACAGCCCGTCACAGATCTGGCAAGAAGGTGGCTGGCAGCTCAATCTCCAGTCTCGCCAAGAAGCCTTGTCTTCTACTGAGCCTTTTTTTCCTCTTTGCCATGAAGATGTCATAATATTTACAGACATAGAAGACATCTGCTGCTGTGGCCTGCCCTACACCCAGTCCCTCTCTCTTTGGACCATGTCCCCATCCTCCTTGCTCTGGGTCATTATGACATGGAAAAGAAGGAGCACCATGTACCCCCAACCCTGCCTGCCATCACCACCATCCCAGCAGGAAGGAGCCAGGCAATTTATTGTGAACTCAGTGACAGACTCAGGGGCATGTGACGCCAAGTGGGCCAACTTGGGTCAGTACGGGCCTTCTGCTGAGGACAGAGAGGAAGAGAAGTTCTTTGACTGCAAGGCTAGGAGTTGGGAAACAGGAAGGAGGTACCATTCTGGGGATGACTGGGGACGGCTGAGAAGGGTAGAGCCAGATCCACTTGGCCTTGCTGGAACGTCTAGATCCAGCTGAGGCTCAAGGCCAATCTCATGGCTTCTCAGCTAAGAGCCAACAAGCAGAGGCATTGCTTAAATTCTCTCGGGCTAGTTTTCGAGACATGTCATAAACAAACTTGAATGACATGGACTGGACACTTTACTCACAAAAGCCTCAGAGATGTGCAGGTAATCAGTTCCCTTAGCAACTGCACATGAAGTGACGTGAGAGAAACTGCACGCCAGAGGAGAAAGCAGCCCAGCTGTCACATCTCCAGCAGCAATGGTCTGAGCAGGGTCAGGTCAGAGAAGCCGACAAGGACAAATGTCACCTGTCAAACTGCAGGACCTTAATTGATGTATCCAGAAACATCAGCATGAGGAAGGCCTTTATCCAGCACACCAGGGAGCTGGGCCCCATCTCTTCCTGGTGTCCCCTTTGCCTTGTGGGAAGGACAGCAATGTCTTCATGTCGCAGGAGCACATGAACCCCATGGAAAGTGTCACGGAGCCAGAACTCCAGGTGTGGAACGTGTCTGTGCAAACCCCTCAGCTGGACACGTTGGCGGGAAGTAAATGGGATGACACTGCTGTATATTCTTACTTAATCGAGACTATGGCGCTCGTCTGAAAGGTTTCTGAAAGGTTACCAGAATGGAGTGCCACCTAGCTTAGCCGGAAGCCTACGGGCTCAGGCTGGGTGGAGGCACGTTCTGGTCTAGACCTGAAACAGTGCCCCCAAGTCTCAGGTGTATGGAAGGTGACTGGATCACGGGGCTCCATCCACAGATGAGCTCAGGGCTGAATGAGCTGAGAGAAGGTGGCGCCTGCTTCGAGTGGCCCGTGGGGACATGACCTAGAAAAGCTGTTCTTGTCCCCGTTCCTCCCTCATCCCTGTTTCCTGGCTGCCCAGTTGTACAGCTGGCCTCTTCCACACCCTCCCACCATGCATTTCTGCCGTGGAGCCCGCTGACCTTGGACTGAACCCACTGGAAACCGTGGGCCACGTAACCTGGGCTCCTCAGGGCCGTGGGTGCTGGGTGTTGTGCCTCTGTGGTGGGAAAGTGGCTGTGACAATACATGGCCTCATTTTTTGGCCAGCAGAGATCTTGGCTTCAGAAACGATTTATTGTGGTTTCAGACTATGAGATCAATGTTATCAGACACATTAATCTCGTCCTCTGATACACAAATGCCACAGTCAAATCGCTGCATGAAAAGTCCTTACAGATCTCACTAATTCCATTGACAAAGTCACTTTTGACGTATACTTCTGCCAAACTCTACAGTTATAATTTTTATGCAAGGCAATGAATATCCACTGGAGCGTTCTTCCTTCATTTCAAGTTTTTCAATGATATAAATGGACAAAAACATTGTGGGATGGCTTAAGAGTGTAATCATTATACTTAATATTTTTTAAAACCTAGCAAATCCCACTAATGTCAATCCTTCTACCTTGAAGTGTAATTTAATAAAATATAATTCAAGATTCTGTAGTTGTTTCATGAGTAGTCATATATCTCCCATCTAATTCTGATTAAGCATGCCATAAGCCACACTTCACACAACCACAATACTCATGTGTCATGTGCCACATTTCTCTGCTTCACTGTTCATTCCATATTAAAACAGCACCATGTGTCACACCACGGTTATACCATCCCCGGGCCAATGAAATGATGTCACTCAAGTAGACGGGGCCAGGAGACACAGTCTTGGCAGGCCTGGCAGGAGATTCTAGAATGTTCCTGCTGCTTCAGTTCGCATCTATAGGGCCGTATGTCCAAAAGGTCTTCTTGCCCTCCTAAATCATGCTTTCCACTTTATGTATTGCATAAAAATGTGGTTTATGGATTTTGAATACAGGTATAGCCAAAGATATGTGCTAGTAACCCAATCCCATCTAGATTTCAACAAATTAACTCTGCTTTTTTTTAAGTGGGGGAAATCAAAATCATTTGTCATGAAAGAAAAGGCTACATTTTTAACAACTTTGTTAAACAAAAGTTGTTTTTTATGTTGAACATAAAAAAATTGCCACATGAGATTCTGCACTGTCTCCTATGATCCCCCAAGTAATAAGTGTATTTCTCCCACTGTGTGTATAAGTGACATTAAGGTACCTTTCTTTGTTTTATTTCAGTTTTTGAGTATTGTTCATGGTCATGCTGTGACAAGAAGATTAATGGGCCTTAGACAGTAAATCCTTTGGGGAATCAGACTTTTGTTGTTTTTTATATTTTCAATAATAAGGAGGTGGGGGGCTGGCGAGATAGCTCAGTGGTCTAAAGCGCCTGCTTAGGCATGCTTAGGCAAGCATGCAGGGACCTCGGTTCAATCCCCAGCACCACATGCCATGGCAGCCCCGCCCCCAGGGTGGGCTGAGCTGACCATAAAAAAAAGAAAAAATAATAATAAGGAGGTGATTTCAGTAGTAAGGAGGCATCTTGCTTTGGAATCAAACTTCAAGCCATGGCTGCACTCGAAGCCGTAATGCTGAAGACCTGTGTCACGTGACGTGGGTGAGCAGCGCTTCTCTAGAAAGAGTTTGTTATTCATACCTCATTAAACAGAGCATGAACCACTAAGAAAAACATTCACCTCACACCCAGACCCCTGGGGTGAACCGAACTTCAGCACCACACAGAATTCACGTTTTCAGGCTTGACTGGGTGACTCCTTCATATGGATGATGTCAGCCTAATCCTCGTAAAACCCTAAAAATCAAGTTCCTGGCTCCAGCCATTGGCAGACTAGAGAGCAGGGCTTTAGAGCGGTTAAGTAATTACGCTTCACAGGCTGACTCCAGCGAGGGTTCCGCTCTACCAGTGCCTGGGTGTCGTTTACCACAACATGGGAAGGACCAAACACACAGTGCTTGACAGAGATGCGGAACATGCACGCTTACCCTGGATGGACTCCACGACGATCCTGTAGGCTGTGGCATGGCGATGCACCTGCCACCGAGCACACAAGCTGGTCATCTCAACCTGGTGTGCCTGGAGGTCGGTCACACCCAAGGATACTGCAACAGAGGGACATGCTTGTGTCACACCACAGACAAAGCCACCAATGTCCCTACGCCTGAAAATAATTTATGGTCACATCAACATTCAAATCTCAAAACTCGGAGCGGAAAATCCATGAACCCACAAGGGTAACTTAAGACAGTTATTGTAAAACAGTATGTATGAAGTTGTCTGGATTTTAAATGAAAAGGGAAATATATGCTCACAGGAAAAAGTGGATGCAGTGGGGGATGAAGGGATGAGTGGGCTGTATCTCCCCCTTTATCTGCGTCTCTATATGCAGTCAGTCATGAGCATCTGCTGCTTTACCATACGAGTGGTTACAGTACGGGTTTACCAACCAGGGCAATGCAAGCCATGAAGGAAGGGCAGAGTGGGCGGCGTGGAAGTGAGGCGCAGCAGGCACATGTGCAAGGACTGGCTTTCAAAATCCAGCTATGCCCGGCTAATTTCACTTGAAATTGGAGCAGAAAATGTCCCCGAGCCAGTATATGCCAGTGGCCCAGGTGACAGCCCCTGTCACAGTTCCTGTTACTGCTGCTTCTTAGAAATGGCTGGTCACTGTGATGCATGTTGCAGGAACCAATCAAAGACAGTCAAGTGTTCTTCCTCTGTACCTTCCCTTTACAGGTCATAAAAACCTCTCTCCTTGAGCCTTCAGGGCCTGACATTTTGAGGGACAATTGATTTCCTTCCAGTGCCCATCAATGTAAAATAAATTTGCCTCCAAATCCTCGGTGTCGTTTCAGTGTTTCTGTTTGTGGTTACAACATGACTTCTTCCAAATCACTCATGTCACCACAAATGATAGCATTTGATCATTTTCCTGGCTGCACAGTATTCCTTTGTGATCTCATTAATATGGGATATAACAAAGTTACCTCATAGAATTGGGAGGTAGAAGGGCGGGTGCCTGTCCTTCCCTTCTGTTCTATTAAAGCAGAACGTATTTTTGAAAATTTTAAAATGATGGAATTTGCACATATTATACAACACCCTATGATCAGTCCTCTGTATCCTAGAGAAAAAAATATTTTTATTGCTTCCCCAAGTAATCATTTTCACATAAAAATGTTGTCATGTTGTTTCTCTGGGACACAGAGGAGTAACATCTGGTGTTTCCCCTTGAGATCCAAACAGGGAAAAGCAGAAAACTCATCTCCACTCTCCCTAATGACCACTGGCTTCCATTCATACAGTTTGATCTCACTTCTCCTCTTTTAGCTAACTCATGAAATAAAATTACCATTAGTTATTTTTGCAAGGTGGTAAAATATTCCTATCTAATCATAACTTATATTTTATAGTATGCCTTTCCATAAGAATGGAAAGACTTTTGTCCCAAAATCCATAAACTACTCTCTCCACACAACAGAGAGAAATTTATCATACTTCTATAGCTAATTTTTTAAAAATTCAGTTAACTTATTTTTCATTATGTGAGGTTTTATTTTGCCTAGGAGAATGAGAGAGGACAAGCAACAAGCTCAGGTAAGTCCTGCTTTAAGGACTTGAGCATAAGACAATTAAAAACTTTCAGTCTTTTACAACAGGCTCAGAATCCTTGTCATCTTAAGGGGAGGGGAGAAGAAGGGGGAGGCAAGGAAGGGCCAGGAGAGGCAAGGAGAGCAAGGGGAGATTCTTTAAGGAAAAATATCTTAGCGACAGAAGACCGGGCACCGACCAACAAAGTCACCCAGAAAGGAAAGCCAAGCCAAGCCGGAGCAGGAGAGAGGCCAGAGGCGGAGGCAGTGGGCGTGTTTCAGGAGGGCCTAGGGGTCGCTGCGAGGTATAGCAAGAAGGGCTTAGAAGCTTTGCCACAAGCGGGGCACCCCGACCCCCAGAACACTGCCAGGCGCAGGCCCAGACTCCCCAGAGCCGCAGTGCCCAGATCATTTCTCCTGAGAGTGCCTGTACTCAGGAGCCAGCCTTAAGCAAGCCCACCAAGACTCCAGGAAAGAGGACTCGGGAAGACTCCTCTGTAAAGGGGCCAGGCTCCGACCTCCGGGGTGGCCGAGGGTCTTGTCTCCACAGTCCCTGTTCTTGCCTTCTCTTGTTCTTGTCTATCATATTAGTGCTTTGATTAGGAACCACGGAAGACACACGCCGAGGGCGGAATACGCAGTTGTCACAGCAGCCATAGTGGCTGTCTGTTGGGTGCTTGTCATCGGGGCACGGCCTCCCTAACCCTCACATCAAGCCTCCGGATGGTCACTGTCTTGCTCTCAGCGTGGAGGCAGCGTGGCCAGCGGGCGGCACCCTCGCGGCTTGTCCTCCTGCTTGCGCCCTGACTGTCTCCCTCCCGCCCGCGTGGGGTGCTTGCTCTGGGTCACACTCTGGGCTGCACTCGGCAGCACACAGTGGAGCCACTTTTACTTTGGTCATTGTCCGTTATCTTGATTGTGTAACAGGGACGCTGGTCTTGGGCTCGGGGTAATCATATGGGTTTTCAAAAGGACTTGGATTTCGTGTGTGAATCTCTCTTCCTTTCCTCCACGTTGCTCCTTCTGGATGGTGTTTCCTGGAAAGCCCATCTGAAGAAATATATTAAACAGATGGCGTGGAGGTGTAACAGACTCCAGGAATATGGAGCAACATGCTGGGATGTGGAAAACATTCACGGGCGTCTGAACGCGCTGAATGCCAGAGAGACATCCCAGATGGTGCCCAGACAGCGCAAAATCCCATAAAGGAGCAGAGCAGGATGTTCTCAGGGTGGTGTGGCATGCACTTTAGCAGATGACGTGTGTGTGCATGCGTGCCTGTGTGTGCATGCGTGTGTGCGCATGCACGCGTGTGTGTGTGCACACATGCACCTATGCATTTGTGTGGCAGAAGAGAACAATGGCTTTGAGAAATGCAAACTTCTCCTTGGCCCAGTGGACTGGCATTAACTGTGTCACGCTACCAGCTGTTTGGAAAATTTCACCTACTTTGAAAAATGCCAACCAAGATTTTCCAGAGGGAAATTCTATCTGTGGTCATCAGGCCTATTGGAAAGGCAGGCGCTAACTCCCCACCTGCCAACTAGAACACCGAAGTCCCCTGAGGAAAGAGCACACCTTTCTTTCCACAAACCACCATCCAGAAAGAAAGAAAGAAAGAAAGAAAGAAAGAAAGAAAGAAAGAAAGAAAGAAAGAAAGAAAGAAAGAAAGAAAACCACCAGGCAACGCTGAGGCAGGCTTAAGTTACAAGCCACAGGGAAAGCCAAGAGGCCCAGGCACACGAGGGTGAGGTGGGATGTCTCTTACGTGTTTTCACCAGGCCCGTCAGGGCTTCGCTGAAGCCCGCCGCCTGGGAGGCGAAGATCTTCACGCTGTAGTCCGTCCCGCTGAGGAGGTTGGTGATGAGAATGGTGTGAACGTCGGCACCCACAAACGTCTCCAGGGTCTGGCCGGGAACTGAAGGAGAAAGGACAACAGGCAGTTATAGCGAACATGGGAAGGCAAGGATGTGGGGTGTGCCACACACCATCAGTTGCCCAGGATGCCCCAGCTAGTGGAGTCCAGGGCTGAGGCTGGAGCCTGGGGGCACCAAGAGCAGGGGACTATGACTGGCACCTTGCCAGAGAGTTACTCCAGGGACTGCATCCTTGCCCACAGTGCAGTTTCCCCTGTGCTTGCTCCAAGAAGCGGACCCACCTCACAGCCCACCATCCACTGCATGGTGAGCAACTCGCCTGTGACAGGCACTCGTGAAGGAAGCGTGCTCAGATGTCCCTTTGCAGACCCCGACTCTGGCTCTGGGAGCTGTGCAGGTGGCAGGAGCAGCACGGGTTTCCCCAGACATACAACCCTTCCTAGCCACAGCAGGCGGGTGCACACGACAGCCCCACCTGCTCTTTTCAGTTAATGCGAGAGGCATGGTGCTTTCATTTCCAAGTCCTTGGTCAGCTGGCTTTGGGCATTTACACCTCGGACTCTGTTTCAGTTCTATTTCAGGTAAGGTCTTTGAATACGCATTAACAACCTTCCTTGCCAGCCCTAACCAGATGTATTTACCTGCTGCCTCTTCCGGTGAGGCAGTTATGGGTGCCTTAAGCGCCCTCCTCTCTCCCCAAAGCCTGCTTCCACCAGTGTGCGGACATTTTCAGTGTGCCTTATCTCAGGAGCAGGGTTCCTGTGCCCCAAATGTAACACAACCGACCAGGTGCGGTTCTGCATTGGGCCTACAGCAGGATTGCCCGGCCTCAGCATGGGTGTCACTAGGAACTGGGTGAAGCTTCATCACGGGTGGAGGAAGACAGTAAGCTGCAGGGTGGCCAGCAGCAGCCGCTGCCTTCCAGCAGCAAGTCTTGGCTCCCCAAGCCTGGAGCAGCCAAAACACTTCCACCAGAGGGCAAACTGTAACAACCCAGAGCGCCCACCCAAAGCACAGCCACTTAGAAAACCTAACCGTACTTGTAAAGGGATCCAGAGAACAAACTGGGCAGGGCTGTCCTACAGATTGATACAGACTTGGGGCCCGAAGAGAGAGAAATTGGCAGTGGGCCCCCACCAATTAATCTATAGTGGGCCAGTCCACCCAATGCCTATGTGCTCTTTGATTTTCATGGTTCACGAAGATGTCTGTCTGGAGAAGTCACCAGTAGATTATTTTACCCGTCTGAACCTGATGACATTAGCACCTGGTTAAGTGACACAACAGAAAAGGCAGAAAGCTGAGACAGGTAGGAACAGCCTCGAAGCTGACAGATTGAAACTGATGTCATTTACTGAGGGCAGGAGGTACATTCTTTAATGCCCAAAGAATGGTTTTAAATTTTTCCTGCCAAATTGAGAAAAATTCTTGGAGAAACAACCAGAGTTCTGAAGGCCCAGGACTAGAAACTCAAAAGGGCCTTCCTACTGTCCACTTTGTAAAGGTGCTAAGATGCTGCTGCAGTGGTGGGGGTCTCCTCCTGACAGCCCATGAACCCGGGGTACAGCCACATGAACCCCGGTACCGCCACATCCCAACTGAGCCTCACATGCCTTCAAGGTGCGCTAACCAGGGAGGCAGAAGAGAGCAAGGGGACGGCTGAGGTTCCTCGGCAGCTGGTGTCAAAGCATTTGCAACTTTGATGGGTTCCTCTCCCAACATCCCTTCCAAGGCAACTAGACCAAGGAGTGGCATGACAGACCTCTTCCAATGAATCTAAGAAAAACTTGAAATCTGAGGTCCAAACATGTGCAAGTTACATGGCAATTGAGCCGCAGAACCTGCTGTCTCTGTAGTCTGGGCTGTCTCAGGCTGCCTCCCTGTCCATGGTGTGGCTAAGTCCCTCGGAAGTGGAATGGACGGCATCCTCTGCCCATCAGGAGTTCCCAGTGTTTTTCTGCACAGTCATCTTTCAGATAACACCTACCTGCCCTAATGCTGACCACAATAAAAACCTTTTTTTAAAAAACATTAAGTGATTCCTGCTATGTCTTTTAAAACACAGCACCAAACATTGACCAAAAGTTCCAAAAAAATCATTCCCCCAGAAGGCCTTGTAGCCTGAGGAACACATACCGCTGAGAGGTTTGTAGACAATCCTGTAGCCCTTCACAGGCCCGGGCGGGGAATCCCAGGAGATGCGCAGCCGGTTGTACCACTCTTCTGAGACTCTTAAGTTTTGGGGGCCAGAGGATGGTGCTGGGCAGCAAAGAAAGGAAACAGTAAGAATTTGCCGTAGTTCCCCTTTTTATGGGCTGAAAAATTGTCGACAAAATTTAAGACACCTTCACAGGATTAAAGGCAGCTGTAAGTGAAAGTCTACCAGTACACACAGTATGAATAAATTTGTCTGCTTTTTACAAAATTAAGCACAGGGAAAATTGTTCTCATAATAAAGTGGTTTTATCTAAAGTTTAAAAGTTCATTCAGTGTCATATTGGTTTCCTTTCTCCCTTTTCTTTTCTCTTTTTTTTAAGGCAAAGTCTTACTACGTAAATTGTACTGGCCTCAAGCTCACAGCAATCTTCCTGCTTTAGCCTCCCAAGTGCTGGGATTACAGGCATGCACAACCACACTGGGCCTCTATTCAATTAAATTTAAGTACACAATAGAATTGAATAGTGTTCTTTAACAATTTCTACCTATGAGAAGCCCTATTCCACATGCATCAAAGAACCCATGTCCCAAAGAATCAAGGGTCCTGTTCACATAGTATTCATGGTGATGTGATAAGAGGCTGATGGGTTTTTGCTTTTTACCTTCATATGGTGCAAATATACCATGTAAAACTTTGTGTTATTCTTCATCAATTTTTGAATAAAAGCATTAAAGTTCATGGAAGGGCCGGTGAGATAGCTCAAGCAGACTACGCACCTGCTTTGGCAAGCGCAGGGACCAGGGTTCAATCCCAGTCCCTCATGCTGAGCCAGCCCCGCCCCCAGAGCACACTGAGCCAGCAACAGAGTCCAGGCACGGTGATGCACACCTGTAATCCCAGCATTGAGGAGGCTGAAAACAGCAGGATCACGAGTTTGATCTGCGTAGTGAGACCCCGTGCCAAATACACACACACACACACACACACACACACACACACACACCAGTCCTATGGAAGTCCTTGGCAAGCTATTGTGCATGCCGGCAGATACGATCATCATCATCTATTGTTGATAGAATCACTCGTGCTGGCCACTTTTAAGGTAAGCAGACCATCCACTGCCACTGAGATAATTTTATTGAACGGAGACTGTGGTATGCAACGGCACTTAGGCAAATGAGATGGAAATTCTACTTCTACAGCAATAGTTTGTGTTAAAGGCATACTGCTGCATTTGTCCCCTTTAGTTGTTGTCTGTAGGTTTCAAAAAGTTTATGCGGAAACAAAATACTAAAATATGGTAGAACGCCCAACATGTGGCCCGAGGCATGCAGCACCTCCAGTGTCTACAGTGAGATCAAACAAGGATAGCAGTGTCTCGGTGGACATGGAATGGTGCATGCAAACTCCCCAGTGGCTCAGTTCTTCCTTTCATACAAGGGCCCCAGAAAACTGCTACAGCAACTCTGAGGGCTCCAGGACTCGGGGTGCTCCTTAGCAAGGTGGCAGGCGTGGCTGGCGGCTGGCATCTGGGCAGAGGATGCACAGTGGGCCTGGGAAGAAGGGACAGATCCCACAACTGCTCTGTGGGGACAGCATGCTGATGTGCACGGCAGCAGTCAGGACTCAGCTGCAGAGCTGCCATCACTCGTGAAGACCTCGAAGGGAAACCTACACGGAGTGCCAGGCTTGAGTGGACCCTCCCCACCACTCTGCGCTGGGCCCGTGGAACAACCGGCAGTTACAATGGGTGAATCATGTTCGGGCACAGTTTGGGCCCTTCTTCCATTGGGAAGGGGAGGCCGTGACCTTCTCTGTGAATCAGGGTTGTCTTGACCAATAGATGGCTGCGTAAGTGACAAGATTTCCAGGTGGAACCCTGGAGCATCCGGGAAGTTCTGCTTTCTGCCTCCTGTGCTCAGAGTCCTGAGTCACTGGGACAGAATTGAGCACTTACTAGAAACCCCATGTAGAGGCATGGAGGCTTATGGAGAGAGAGAGACTCAGCTGAGGCCAGCTGTGCCATGCTTGTGGGTGACCAGCTGCCAGGGAATACCGCTGGGCCATGCTCGCCAATACTCGGGGCAAAGTTTCCTAGCAAGAACTAGCTGGTTTCCTGCCCCACGCAACAGAGACATCATGGAAAGGACACAGACTACTGCAGTTAGATTTCCAAGTAGGCTTTCTGCTAATGTAGCCAACCCCAAGGAGTGACGACAACTAAGCCTTGGGAGCTTTAGCCAAGGCTTCACACGCATGCTCCCTTTGGGTGATTATGAAAAGTTCACTTAGGACCCCTTCCGGGGCCACACTGGGTAGCTGTGACCTGGAATGCTGGGTGATTGGGTGCAGAGGAGCCTGTCCTCTCATGACACTTGTTTTCCAGGGGTGAGAAGTGAAGAAGAGCATGCCAGATTGTAAAGTGACGAGCCACGAATAAACACAAACAGCAAACAGTGTGATACTGCGGGACATGCGCTACAGGGCATGGAGAGTTTGGAAGGGAGGGGCAGAGGAGCAGACAGACAGACGTGTGGGACAAGAGATGCCTCCAGAGCGAGGCCTCAATTGGTACAGGAGGCCTGCAAGTACAGGGGGACTGGGAGGGAGCTGCGGCCTCGGAAGTTGATGGGAGGAAAGGACCAGGACTGGCAGGACCTGGCCCACGTGGCCCCTGTGCCCTGAGGGCTGTGGGGAGGACACGGGGTTATCCTGGGGTCTGGCGAGAGCAACAGGTGCTTTTGTGACCTGAGATCATTTGCGTTCTGCCAGCTCCTCAAACACTGCAAGATGAGGGCAAGCAGCGCAGCAGGGGACTCTCCGCGTCCAGGGAGATGGTGGTGTCTGGATTGAGATGGACAGAAAATGAACCAATGTGAAACATATTTTAGCGAATCAACGAGACTTGGGGCGGATCCCATGCTGGAGGAGAAAGCAGCTCTCAAGCCTCAGCTTTGACAGAAAAGAAGCCTGAAGCCCAGGCAGGGAAGCACCTTGCCCAGCCATACCATACACATGTGCAGATGGACTCAAGCGCAGATTTGTTTCCAGATCTCTCGTTTCATCCCATGAGATCGTATCCTATCTCTCAGGCTGCATTCGGGCAGCGAGTACCTTGGCAGTCAACTCTTGTCCCAAGGGAGAGGGCTGCACTTACAGGTTTTCCCTGGAGCGGAGACGCTGACACCTTCTCCATCTGAGTAGATGGGCGTTACAGTGACCTTGTATTCCGTAGCTGCAAGAAGAGGCCTCAGAACGACACTGCTCTGGCTCCCTGGCACTATGACCTGCACAGAAAAGCCAAGGACCAAGGTCCCAATAAGAGCCTGTCCCCCCAGCCTACAGCCTGAGCATAGCGCCACACACTACGAAGCACCGCAAGCAAGGAGAAGCGCCTGGCAGCAGTAAGGGAAGGGCAGCACCCACGCAGAAGCATCTCTGGGGCATTCTCCTCACACCGGCCCTCAGGACGTAACCACTAAGGCAGGCAGCTGGGATGGGAAGCTCAGGCCCACACAGTAGCCTTCTCTCAGCCTCTTCTGGGACATGCCAAGCACCTAGAAGTCAGGATAACAGCTAGTCGAGCAGCAGGCTCTAGGGACTGGGGGGTGTTAGTCCTGTACCCCAACTGCTGCTTGCTGGGAGTGGCCGCCATGTCCTCTGGCAAACTCAGGCCCCTGGCTTCCTCTGGCAGAGATAACCCGAGCCTGGCATTGCATTCCTCCCACTGGAAAGGCTGGTTGTGGGCCAGAAGCAACAGAGCCACAGGCAGGGGCCAAGTTTTCAAACTAAAACATACTTACCAGCAACACTAAAAAAATGCTGCTGGTTTGTTTTTAGATTTCTGAAAAGAGATGTCTTCCACAGTCTGAAAGCACCATCCCTGTCTGGAAAGGCTGCCAGAAAAAGATGTGCAGCAGAGGGGGGCAGGGCACGCTGCCCAGACGTGAGGGCCACGCGGCTGACGATGCCACCGGGGTGTCCCTGGGGGGACAGCGAAGGCCTGAGCAACATGCATTCCTGATGCTGAAGCAGCAAAGCTCTCCGCCTGTGCTCCGCAGCCAGCCGCCACGTGTCCCCCGACCATGCAGAGAAGTGGCTCAGGCCGGAGGGCGGCTCAGATGTCAGGGGAGACCCAGCAGCTTTGGGGAGTCACAAGACCAGGACAGCAGAGCAGCTTTCCATGCCAGGGCTGGGTGAAATGCCAGCGGGCCAAGGGCAGTGCTGTCTACTTCTGGAGGATGGGAAGAACCCATAAATCTGGGAAAAAGGCCCGTAAAGCCTTCAGTTGGACCCTGAGCAGCTGTTGCTAGGATATTACTAAGCTCTCCAAAGCAATGCTTTTAATATGAATAAAGAAGTCTGAATTGAGTGATTTTTATTAGATCCATAGAAGTGGCATCAAAACCCTCAAGTTACGTGGACACGTGGGCACAGGGTCCCTGGGAAGCTCTTAGGCTAAGGGAGCCCAGCTGGGTCCTCAGTGAGTCAGACACCCTGGCAGCCAGGCCACCCTGACTTGTTCATGCTGGAGGGCAGTTCCTTCTGCACGTTCCTCTGAACTGGAGCCTTCTGGGGCCAGGGCCCCACTGACTAACAAACCACCCGTGCTGCTGTTCCTTAAAGAAGAGCATCTCTCCTACTGAGAAGCGCACGCCTGTCACCTGTCGCAGTCAACCCATGGAATGCCCAACAGCAGTGTGACCATTTCGAAGGAATCGTTTAGGTCACAAGAAAGTACTCGCTGTGGGCTGGCATAGCGGCCTTCACGTATCTACCACACACTGTGTGACAGGTGCTACTCTAAGCATTCAGTCACCATGTAATTTTTATCATGCCTCCTGAGGTCCTGGGGACCATTGCACTCACTTACAGATGGGGAAACTGAGGAGCACACAGCTCAGTAAAAGAGCCATATCGAAAGCCCAGGAACCTGGCCCAAGCCTTGCTTTTAATACCTGCCCTCTATTCCTCATGAAGGAACTGCTCGAATCTTTTCGCCCTGCTGGAATCCATCCCCGAGCGTTAAGTGTGAATCTCCTCCAGGCTGTGCAGGGCCCTTCTTGCCTGAGCTGTGCTCGTCCGAGCCAAGCAGAGCTAAAGAAACACACGTTCTCACTAACACTGGACACTGCAGGCCACAGCAGAGCTGCGAAGGGTGCTCATGGCTCCCTGGGATGTAAACCCAGTGTGATGTTTTCAGCAATGTAACTTTGGCTTGGCTCTGTGGTTACCCCGAGGTCCTCAGAGCACCCAAGCATCCACGGCAAGCAGTCTCCTGCAGAAGGTTCTCACGGCTCCTGAGCGCCCTTCTTAGGAGATCCTGTTTCCTGCCAATGGTTTCATACCAGCTATGGTTGGTGACGGGATGGTGCAGGCAGCGGTGGTGGTGGTGGTGGTGGTGTCTTAATTCTTCACTGCAGACTCATATTTGAATAAAATACAGTAAAAGCAAAACACTAGAAAAGTGACTTAAGCCCTCGCATGGTCTCAGTGATGTCAGAGGTGACCACTGCTTCCACAGCTTAATCTTAGGATCTGAACTGATTGTATAGGAGTGGGGGCAGCCCACAGAGCAGCTCCACTCCGGAAAACTCCCCACAACTCAGACTTCTGGTCGTGGTAGAGATTTTGACTTGAGACTCGAAGGCTGGACTCCCAGCCAGTGTTTTACCAATGAGTAAGAGGCCAGGCCACTCTGCTGGCAAAATCAGAGCAACGTCACTATCACTGCTCCGTCCTGTTCCAAGGAGAGCCAAAAGTCAATCTTTATGAGGCATTTGGTGGGTAGTTTTACTTACAAACATTCAAAAAAACTTTCCTTGGAAGTATATGGGCAATATTTATCTCCTCGGAAAGATAAATGCTTCATATAACTTGACCGATCAGGTAAACATCATTGCCCATCTACAGTTCGATTTGCAACATCCTATGCAGAGGCTGTTCACGACATCAATGCTTCTGCCGTATCCCTCCCTCACGCAAACATGATCAGCTCTTCCGCATAAGGAGAACTGGGGGAGACGGCAAGAGACGCCCCTCTGTCCCGGGCCCTCTCCTTGCTTGTTTTTACAATATTCTACCCATCTGTCTTGTCCTGCCATGCATCATTATTTGAAGCTACGGTCTGCTGTCTGTTCAACTCAAGACTCCGGACGACGGCCTCCATTGACAGCTGACTGCTCCACCTTCAGTTTATAGCCGTCGGGAAGTCCCTATCAACTCAGAAAGTGTACACAAATGGTGCACAAAAGCCCAGTGTAATTACCATTCACTAAAAGAGCTGAATATTTACAGAATTTGGCAGAACTTTCTTTTGTACAGGCGAAACAAAAACAAACAGTTCTTTACAGAACGTTACTACCATGAAATTTATCAATATTTTTCACATTTATTAAAGGTTTGTTTAACTGGGGCAGACTAAGGCTTTTTAGTTTTCCCCCTTCATCTAGGTGTCTGAGTACTTCAAAAACAAGCAGTGCTAAATGAAAGAAACTGGCAACGCGAAATTACCTAGAAACAACCCAAAGTAAATATTATTATAATTTTACCTTGCATAACTCACAAGTGCATGTGTGAGATTAAATTGTTACCCTTTCCAATTTAGCAGGAATAATTTGCCAAGCAGCTTAATGTGTTTCTTGGAACAAGTGGAAAAAAAAAAAAAAAGAAAGAAAGAAAATAAACCTCTCACCCTGGAACATTTCTATGACTTTCATTTTTAGGAACTAAATTACAACAGGAGGAAAATGATGGCAAAAATAAAACACCCCAAATTAATTAACGGCATGCTTATGCACCATACTAATATTTTTAAATTCACCATCCATGATTATTTGTAATGTATGGTCAGAGTGAACGTGAAATTCAGTCCGGCTTGTCGACGTGCCACCAGCGTCCCCCGAGCCCTCCTGACCAGCCGCAGGGGCCCTCACAGCAGACGTGGCCTTCGCTGCGCCTCCATCTCATTGCCTCGCTCCCTCCATCAGCCGGCAGCAAAGCGCTTTCCTGGAGCCATCCTGGTGCGCACAACAGGCTACATGTGCACATCGCTTTCTCTCCGCAGAGGCCATGCAAGTAAGAAGGGCCGGGAAGCAGAGGCTGACCCAGAGCAAGGACAACCCGGGGGGCCGCCTCTCCTCGAGCATCAAAGAGAACGCGGCAGGGAACAAAAGGCGCAGCTAGAGCTTGGCCCGGCTCCGAACACGCCTGTGGCTCATGATGGAAAGGACACCTTTCCTTCAGCTGAAGGGCAGAGCCATCTAGTCTAACTGGACACACGTGTAGGGAACAATTCGGGTCCCAGAATAAAAGGGATGACGTGGGCGACATTTAAAAAGCCTGGAGGCCAGGGTTACAAGATGGGAAAACCACCCCACTGAAACCTCATGCCCTGCAAATGTGTACTAACAAAAATAAATAAATAAATAAAATGCGTCAAGGAAAGCTCAGGGGCTGGGGAGGGGGTAGCCAGTGGCACAGCACCTGCCCAGCAAGCACAAGGCCCTGGGTTCAATTCCTGGTACAAGAAAGAAAGCTCAGCACACAGAAGTCTACATCTCTGAGGAGAGAGATCCATGATGGAGAACAAATGAGAAATGACTATAAATCTGCTCAAACTGAGTGGATATGAGTGAAAACTGTAGCTCCTAGCAGGGAGCTATGGGTCAGGACCACTGCCACCAGACAGAGACCTTCCATGTGTTTCTCACTCCAGAGGCTCTCCTCAGACTCAGGGGTAGCGGAGTGCTCTCAGAAAGCTCTCCACAGATCTGCACGTGGTGTGTGCCACACACTCCAGCCCTCCTAAGGCCCAAGGTGATGCTCTAACAAGTGGTGAGGCAGCAGCCACAGGGCCAGACACAGGCCTCCTCAGCATGGAGCAAGCACTGTGGAGCAGAAGCCAGAGACAGAAGGGCCAGCAAGAAACAAGCAGCGAAGCTCGGACTAGGAAAGGGCACTAGCTGGAGAGGGCAGGCAGCGCGTGCCAGCAGGAAAGCGCTCGCCGTCTCTTCTGGCGGCCCTGTTCCTGCTGTTGGGGAAGCCTGTGGCTGCTATACAGACCGTGCCTACCACCTCCTCGGCGGGGTCCCCTCGAGCCGTCAGGTAGGTCACCCTAAACTGTTCCACATTGCTGTCGGAAATGTCCCACGACACCCGCAGGCTGGAGGGCGTCTCATCATCTATAGCCAAGTTCCTGATTCCTGTCTGTAAAACTGGAACAAACAACACAAGGAGGACAGAACGCTGAACTCATTGCATGGTGCAGAAGCTGTCTGGGTGACCAGAGCATCACAGAGCGCAGCTCGGGGATACAGAAGCCACACAGCCAGAGCAGCCCCACCTCGGTGGTCCTTGGAGAGTTGAGACGCTGCCAGGAGTGAGCAGAATGGGCCCCAGGGACACTCACAGGACAAGGCCCCAGCAGCTCTGGATTATCAGCCCTGCACTGTTATGGTGAGCCCTGGAAAGAGCATGGGCATGGGAACCCGATGCCATGGCTCTGCTGGAGAAATGGCCCGGGGAGCAGGCCTCACCTCCCTCCTGTGCAGCCCAGCATCCCCCACGCATACCACCTGCGTCCCCATGTACACTCCAACACTCATCACTCGACCCTCGCCAGGCCGTCTCTCCCCCGCCCTCTGCCCTACTCCCCGCATGTGTTGACACACCCGTTCTTCTCTTCCAGTGCTCCCTCCTTTGTCCCATGGTTTTCTTCTACTTTCCGTGCTGTCTTCCTTTTCCCCGTCCATACCCACTACCTCCGGTGCATCTCTCTCTTCATTCATTCACTGATTCACTCATAAACAATCACTGAGCTCTTCCTATCTATGTGTCACACGGTGTCAGGGCTTGGAGATAGTGATTAGCTTTTGACAGAAACAGTAGAAGTGTCACTGATGAGGGAGGACAGTGATGTTTACCTGGCAGAGGGAATGGAAGCGAACTTAAGGGCAAGGAGCTCTAGATGGAAGGAGCAAGTGGCGGAGGAGCAGGAAACTGGTTGAGGCCAGGAAGAGAAGCAGGAACTATCAGGGAAGATCTCAATGTTACAGCAGAGCGTAGGGCACAGTACAGATTAACTGAAGAGCAGACGAATAAGAATCAGAGCCAGTGATGTGCTTCAGACAGCAATAAAAGATAATACAACTTTGTGTCACTAGTTGAGCCGCAGGTTGTTAGGAGACATACTGCAGCAGCAGAGAGAGCTCAGCTGAGAGCGAACAGCCAAAATTGAACCTCACAGAGATATCTGCACAGACCATGATACGAACAGCAGAAGTCACCGAGACGAGAGAAAGGCAAAGGGCCCTGGGAGGATGCGACATTATCATGCTCGGAGAAGCAAGCTGGACTCCAGGGCGGGGACGGACCCAGGAGGTGGATGTCACAGTGAGGGGCGGATGGAGCACCTTGCACGTGGAGGTTGGGGGAGGGTCAGGGCTCTAGGGGAGCAAAATGTGACCTGGTCGGCCTGTGCAAAAGGGCAGGAGTGGCTCAGAATGTAGCTTCTTGGTCTAGATCAAATAGAAGCAAATGGGTTTCTCTGCGTCCTTACCTGATGTGACAGGTCTCGTTGGTTCTATGGTTGTGGCTGGTTCTGTCCAAAAACTGTCAACTAAAAACAAAACAAAAAGTGTTGGCTATTTCGAGATTCTGTAAAAACAACAGCCCCACATACTGGCGTAAATTATTTGAGGGCTGTGAAGAGCTTCTCGCCTATGCTGTCCTACTTCTTTCCAAAGCAAATTCATCAGCAGTTGGAAGGCTCAAATATGAGTTGTAAGGCAGATACATCTGTTTCAAGATAAGAAAACTGAAACCCAAAGAAGTTAAAGTTTCTCCTCACAGATACTAGGCTTCACAGAAACTGGCTTCCATCTCACTGATGGAGATGGAATTCCAACTCACAGGATTATGGAGCTCTGCAATTATTTTGAAATCCAGGCATAGCCATGTTAATCAAAGGAAATCAAACCGTGTGCAGACCAAGTCTTGAAAAGCCGGTCACCAGGACCACCTGGGCGGGTGATGCGCTGCGGCCGAAGAGCAGCCTGCGTTCCCACATGTGCTCTGGGCCTGCAGTGAACACAGCTCCGCGCAGGCTCCTGCACATGTGCAGGCCGCGCCACGCCCCCGGCGCACCCACCATGCCCACCCCGCCTACCCAGGGGCACTCTGGCTCCGACCGAGTGAGATGCAGGGCCTCTAATTCCCCACCCCTTCTTGGACAGTTCAGAAGGGTGACCCGGGGCAGCAGGACCACTGAGGGCAGCTCCACCCTCTCCTGGGCCCTGGGGTGCCGTCTAACTGTCTCCTAATAGACCTTCTGGGTGCAATTTTTTGTCTCCATATCTGTCCCCAGGAACCCAATCGATGAGAATTTAATATGTGCTTAAGACCTCATATTTATTTATTTTTAAGTGAAGGGATAAATCAATCAGTGGGTGCACTTTGTGCAAAACTCCTAGAACCAAGATCAACTTGGAAAATTCCAGTAACTTGAACATCTTAGCCTTAGATTTCTGTTTGCCAGCTTATTCGTGTATAAATTATTCCACACATCCATCCATCCACCTATCCACTCATGCATGCACCTGCCCATCCCTTCAAGGAACATCACAGTTACAATGTGCCAAATACTGAGAACACAATAATGAACAAGATGGACTGGGCCAAGCCTTCATGGAGACAAGAGTCTAGGCTAAGAAGCTTTGCCTGTTGGTTTCATGGAAGGCCGAGACACCAAAGAATTCTGAGAGACAGAGTAAAGCAGAAGCCTCCATGGCCTAGGCTAATGCTGATGGAGAGACGCCCGTGAAGGAAGCCGGCCTCACTGTGGAGGGGGAGCTGCTGAAGCCCAAGCTGGCAGGGAGACTTACGCGTGGTCCCCACGGCAGTCACCACCTCGCTCTCGCTGCCGTCATCGAGCACAGCCAGGAGTGAAACTTCATACTCAGTGCCGGGATCCAGGCCCTGAATGACGTAGGAGTCCTGCTCTTCTCTTAGGACCACCTGGAAAGAATTTCTGCTTGGTAATTAGGTTCATGGAATAAAAGCAAGGATGGAAGTTAAGACACAGAAAAAGGAAAATGTTATTCTGAGCAGAAGCAAGAAATGATTGAGCATAACACACTCTCAACTAGAAATCAATAGTAAAAATTAGACTCAAAATCATATTCCTTTATTTATTTATTTTTGTATTTTTGAGACAGGGTCTCACCATTCAGCTCAGGCTGGCCTTGAGCTCACTTAATAGTCCAGGCTGGGCTCAAACTTGCAGTGATCCTCCTGCCTCAGCCTCCTGAGTGCTGGGATTACAGGCATGGACCATGATGCCCAGTTTAAAAATCATATTTTTCATCCCCTCAGCAGATAGGTTATTAATATTGCAAAAGTAGCATCTTGAGGTGTTATCAAACGTTATTCAAGAAAGTCAAAGAATCTGATCTGAAAATATGTGAGATATAGAAATAAAGTCCCGATAGCAATATATTTTATTGTTCAAAAAAAAAAAAAAAAGATTTGGCCACATGCGGAAGTTCCATCTTTCTGGGGTGAACAACCCACAGGCAGCTGCCAACGGCATGCTCTTCCAGCCAGTGAGCTGCCCCACAGTGGATGCGGGTACCCACCTCTCCAGTCTTCCCGCCATAAACTGGGATCCACATCAGCTTGTGCAGCCCCTCCTCGGCCGAGAGTGGGTGCCAGGTCACTCGGAAGCTGTCTGTCTTCACCTCATCAATTTCCAAGTACTGCTGGGCTGGGACTTCCTCTGTCAGCCCAGGAAGGAAATTAAGTTAGGAAATGAGGAGGGAAGGAGCCAAAACACCAGCCGGGTACGCACAGGAGGTTACTGGGGAGGAGTCCTTTGCTTTTGGCAAACTGCAGAAGAAGGCAAAGGCATGCTGGTCAGGCCAGGGTGGGCTGCCAAGCATAAATCAGGGAAACCCATGGAAATCTGATTTGCTAAGCTTTCCACAGAATCCTTAGCTTGTTTATTTGGATCTTTTCATTAGGAATAATAAGTAAAAATGCCATAGTGGTTATTTTATCAAAATACTAGATTGCAAGTATTTTGGGGAAATTAAGGGAGACTGGAGAAATGGTCCCTTTTAGCTCTCCTGGCTTAATGGTTAATCCCTCCCCGGTGGAAGTTAAGTCCACCCGGGAAGGACTTCAGTATTGCGCGTTTCACGTCATACGGTGTCGTCAGAGTGCAGTTTCATTTGTGAGACCCTTGGCCACTCGCACATCACACACTGAGGAGACGTACGAGGGAAAGCACAACTCCAGCTGCACCCCAAGTAAATGTTTCTGCTGCTCATTCTATTATTTGAGATCAGAGATTTTAAAACTCTGAAAGGACACCCTGAAAATCCCACCCTCGGGAGATTTTAAGAAATCACTGGATTTTTCTGGACTCATCATTTCTCAATCCAGACGCCTCCTTTCTTTCTAAATGACTTTCTCCCCTCCACTGGGACCGTGTGCCAGGGTAGTCAGAAAGTTCGGAAAGCAGACGACGGAATCGTGCCGCTGAGAGACGGAAGAGCTGGGCATGTACGGGGTCTGTACAGAAAGGGAAAACACTGTGTCCACGGCTTCCGATTCGTGTTAGTGTTTAAGGCATTCTTCAGGCTGCCCAGGACAGAGTACTAGCTGGAGGACGATACACTAGAGTAAACAGTATGAAGCTGCGTTTTGTGGTCAAAACGGCTGGATGTCAGCAGTTTTCAGAGTTCAGCTCAATGCACACACACCAATGGAAAGTCGTAAAAAGTTTAGTTCTAGGAATGAAAGAAAAAGTCTGAGATTGTGAAGAGCATAATGTAGTTTTTAAAAGCTTAGAGTTTATGCATTTAAACGGCATATTTAGCCAGAACACGAGCTATTTATCTAATTGCTTATTTGTCAATGACAGTATTTACTTACAGAACTGGGAATTAAACCTAGGGCCTTTGCACTGAGCTCCAACCTCATTCTTTCCTTTTTTTTTTTTAAATTTCGAGACAGGGTTGTGCTAAGTCACTGACCTTCCCAGGCCGGGCTCCAATTTATGGTCCTCCTGCCTCAATCTCCCTGAGTTCTGGGATTACAGGCATGGATTACCAGTTCTCGCTTGTTAATATTTTAAAAATTAAAGTGTTACAGTACAGATTCTCTCATGTCCTGAGTCCTCACTGACCTTGAAGGGCTAGGGCCAAAATATCAACTATCCTTGTAGCCCTTCTTTTTCTCTAATTTTTTGGTCTGCAAACTTATGTTGTTGACCCTCCAGAAGAGAAGCTTAATGATATTATTATTACACTAGAACACCGGCAGTTGAGCTTAACATCACTATTTGTCTGAATATCAAATGCCTTAGACATAACATGGAACAGGTATTTTCCAACAATCATTGATATGCTAAACTTTAAATCCCTATAGAATGTGAAAAAATAAAAATAAACAATTTAAACAAAAAGGGGGATATAAACGATCATTTTGTAGTTATATATATATATATATATATATATATATATCTGTATATACAAAATAGGATAGATATACAGCTACTTTCTCTTAGTACAATGAGAAGAAAGATTTGTATTAATAGTGTTTAGACAAGATATCATGTTTGCATCTTGTACTATGAATAGTAGGAAGACAATATGCAATGTATTAATTATTGTAACTGTCCTACTAACCTGTTTTGAAACTGTCTCATTGCTATTTCTTTCTCAATAAAGTTAATTAAAAAATAAAAATAAAATAAAATTCTTTTCACATGTTTAAAAAAAATTAAAGTGTGCTCTCTTCAAAAATCACCATGGAACAAGCTGATACAAGTTTTAGCTTCTATGCCCTTTGGTTGAAAAACCTCTCGAGGAATACTGAAGCCTACCTGTGATGAATGTTCCAGCCAGAGGCAACGACTGCCCTTCCTCATAGATGGAGAAAATGGCAATGGAATACTCGGTGAGCGGGGTCAGGCCCTTCAGCGGGAACGTGGTGACAGGGTCGACCTCCACCTGCAAAAGAGAGGGGTCATGGTAGCTGCACCTAGTATGCCACTAACAGGTCACTGTTGTCTGTAGCACCCTTGGCGGAGAGATAGGAATGCTCGAAGCAAATTATTAAATTATAGAAAAGGCTCATGTATAGACATTTTTAATCTTCCACCCTTAAATGGTGGCAGTGGATGAGGTGAAGACAGACACTTCCAAGCGACCTGGTAGCACAGTGCAAGTTGATGTGACCAGTTCTTTCTCAGGACAATTCTGTAACCAGTGTTGGAGAAGTCAGCACCCCCAGCACTCTCTGCCCAGGAGAGACACCAGCTGGGAATGAAGTCGCCCGGCAGCTCCCACCCAGCCACTCATGGGAGATGCAAGTGACACCTTAGCCAACAGCATGTGTCGGGCCGAGAGCCCCCTCAGAACTGGGCCCAAACTGCAGGGCCACACTTCCCTCCCCATCAAGGACACAGCAGGCCCCCTGTGTCCTTGAAGCAGAGACAGAGGAGTCTGCAGGTCCTCCTTGTGGGCGCTGACCTGAGCCTGCCATCTCTCACTCGGTCCTCACCACAGCACTATGGGCAGCTGGTCGCTGTCCCTGGTTCAAAAACAAGCGAGCTAGGGTTATTTAAACTCACAGAAAACACAAGTCCACACTTAAACTATGAGTCTAAAACATATTGTGCAAAACTGTGTTTACATACTTTTTCCTGATGTTTTGGATTGATGTTATGAAGATGAACTGAACACTGAGAAAGTGTCAGGGACTTGACACACACTATTTCAGGCAGAGCTTCCCCCCTCCAAGCCCTGGGTGCTTATGATAGTAATTTTCCAAAGTGGGACCTGAAGTCCAAAGAGCTTAATGAATATTAGCTAGAATGAATGCGAGGCCCTGACTTTATCTCTAAGTTGCAAACCTGTGACAAACAGGAACTCTGCAGAGATATCATATATACACAACAGCAATTAAAACCCCAAATTTTTAGGTATAGTGTGAGACTAAAGGGAAAATGTAAGCACACACACCTTCCCCTCTATTAGACTAACAGACCACTAGATACACATATGTACACATAACATGTATATCTGTTAAAAAAAGATCTAGGCTACTTCCTAAACTGTCTTATTTGAGACCATATTTTATACAATTTCACCGTTATTTTATTTCATCAAGTAAAGACCTTTAGTTATCTTTTTTTTATTTTTTATTTTTTATTTTTTTTCAAAGTTTTATTGATAAACATATAGCAATGAGACAGTTTCAAATCAAATCGAAAGTACAGTTTCAACAAATAATACACTGCATACATTCTTCCTAGTGGTTAATTGCTGTACAAGATGCAGACTTGTGATCCTACTTACAAACACCATTAGAAAAAATCATTCTATTCATTAAGAGAATGCAACTATATATCTATCCCAACCACTTTGAATACACAGATACAAAATGGACATTCATAGTTATACCCCAATTTTTTTTAAGTTCCGTTGTTGAATATTATAGGTGTGTAAACTCAGCAAAATATTCTAAAAGAGTACAGAAGCCCATAATATCATTGGGTCTTCTGTTTAACTGGCAATGTCAGAAATTATTGACCTGAGTCCCCCACAGCTCAACATAACAACATGGCTTTACTTCCTATATTTCATTTTCATACTTTTCTACTGGATGGTTAAGACCAAGGTAAAGCAGGACCTGTGCAACAAGAGTTGTAGCTTTTTGGTCTGACAAGGTCAGTGAAATGCCCTCAGGATTTATCTTGAGATCCTGTACCTCAGATTGTAGAACCTTTGTCAGTGTCAGCCATGTGGATGAGTCACGGCCAATGCTTGGCCAATGTGCTCTCTGTGAAAGCCTGAGAGAGTGTCTTCTCCCCATGTGACTCTCCTTAGGCACACTCTACGTCATCGATCACTTTCCTCTTTGGCCCCATTATCTTCTTGATCAGAAAATTTGGGACACTACCGAGGTACATGACGTTACAGTACAAGTTCTCATATGTCCTGAGTCTTAATTGACCTTAGAAGGGTAGGGCCAAAATGTTGGCTTTCCTTGTAGCCCTCCTTTTTCTCTAATTTTGGTCTGCAAACTTAGGTTGTTAACCATCCAGAAGACAAGCTTATTGTTATTATCAAACGATTTACGCTATCAAGCTTAACCTCACTATCTCACTGCATTTCAAACATCTTAGGCATAATAAGGAACAGGTATTTTTCATCAAGTATTGATATGTTGAACCTTAAGTCCCATATCTTTTTTTTTAATACCAGGGATTGAACTCAGGATCTTGCCAGGCAGAGGCTTATACCACTGAACTATCTCCCTGGTGAAGTATAATTTATTTTTATTAGCTACAATATTATTCTTTATTAGTTCTAGAACAGATTTTGTTGATATTTTAAAATGTGGAAAAATTAGAAAAAAATGATAATCAATAATCGGGAGCTCATGATTTGCAACTACTTTTAAGACCAGTTCCTTGAGCTTCCAGCTAAAACTTAACCGCAGCCTAACTTTGGGGATTCACAAGAAATTGAGATCAGGAGCGCGCTTCAGCAGGACTCGGACTCGGGCTCACTGCGAGCCATCCTGCGGGGCCTTCGGCGTCTAAACCAGCCACCTCTGTGTTTCTAAATCTCAAACGCGGCCGCCCGCGCTCACGGCTGTACCCTTCCCACGTCCTCCCTCGGTGAAGGCCACGGAGGGGCAAGCGTGGCAGGCGCGCCACGGGCACTCGGGGCTGAGCAGGGCGCCCGCGCAGCGCCTGGCTCGCGGGGCCGCTCCACACCCGGTGCGAGCCGCCAGGGCCACCGCTGTCCCTGTTTTACGCCCTTTGCCCGCATGTCCTAGGCCTGCAAAAGCTGGGGGCAGGGATACCGCAGACCGGACATCGAGAACAAGGCAGCCAACAGAAACCGGAAGTGAGAGAGGAAAGATGGCGGAAATGGAAGGCATGAGAAGCGGAAGTGCGCCCACGAGACTAATGCGTGTGACGTAAGCACGCGCGTGGCCCATTACCTGTTACCTACGAAGCTCACCTTCGTTGGCAGTTCTAGGCATTTCATATTACTTCAGGGATTTCTTTAAAGCCCTGTTGCTACCTTACCTATACATACCTTAAATTCATACAAATTAAAACAAAATCTACCTGGGCCATTCACCATTGAGAATCAAATATTTCAAAATAACATGAAATAATACTTCATTAAATAAAACACGCATATCAGCAACCATGAATCTCATTTCCATGGTTAAAAGAATTAAGTATAAGAAAGCACACAGAGCTCAAAATCAATATTTTAAAAATCTATGAATGGTTTATGGATTGTGTTCAATGAAATATCTTCAGATTCTCATTCAAAACCCATTTACTAATATTTTAAATTCAGTTTCACAAAATGGGATGTTACCAATTCCTAGAACAAATGAGAAACAGCAAATGCCAAAGGCATCCTTGGCACCAAACAGCACTGCAGAAAAGCAGAGACACATCCACAACAACTCTACTAATTTGGGAACCTTTTTTTTTTTTAATTGGAAAAATTTTGGTTTTTAAATCTTTTTTTCAGTTTTATTTTAAGAGTAAAAGCAAAAGCACAAACAGCAAAGGCAAAGACACAAGCAGAGTAACATACAACAATACATATGGTGCAGATTTTCAAAACAAGAATAGCAAATTAACAATGATTGTTATCTTACATATTTTTATTGTGAAATTTGTTGCTCAGATTAACAGATATAGGTATGCAAGACTAGACAAATAATTGAATAGTAACACTTTCAATAAACCTTAATTTTTTCTTGTCCTTTTCACTTTTTTATTTTTAATTTACTTTAAAGAGAGTATAAGGGGCCGAGGAGATAGCTCAGTAGAATAAGCACTTGCCTGGCAAGCACAAGGTTGTAAGTTCAATCCCCAGTACCGAGAGAGAGAGAATAATCATTATTGATAAGATGTTAGAAATAGTATACATTTGGAGGAACAAGATAAGAGTTATTCAACGTTGGATTTTGTATTGGAAACATTTTTAACAGATATACATACAAAATATCAGGAGAAGCCCTGACAATAATTGTGGTCTGAATGCTTGTGCCCTCTGTCCCCAATTGCTATGTCAATACCTGACCAGTGCAGTGATGCTGAAATGCCAGACCTTGGGCAGGGGCCTTGATAAGAGAGGCCACAGGAGCCTGTGTGCTTGTGCTTCACAAGAGGACACAGCCAGAGGTGTACCTAGGAGGAACGGGCCCTCACCGGGCACTGAATCTGCTGGAGCCCTGCCCCGGGTGGGGGAGATCCAGCCACCAGAGCTGTGAATACTGTGTTTCTGTGGTCTGTGAGCCAGCCAGCTGATGGGCTATGGACAAGGAGAACAATTACTGTTCATTATTACATCGTTATGTTTACAACCATAACTGATTTATGTCTATGAAACTGCACCTTTGCTTTATTAAAAAATTACTACCCAAAGAAGTATGCTCCATAATGAGAAAACATTAGTGCATACAGTTGCTATTATTCTTTTTTTTCAGAGAAAGGAATACTTAATGCTTTATTCAAATGAAAACAGTGATCAAAATTATATTATTGCTATCATCATCTAACATACAGAAATTCAATCAAGCAAATAACTGTTTAGTAAAGTAACAAAAGTTCTACTTACTTTTCTAGTATAAAACAAAAATATTTAGTGTCTTATGTTCTCAAAGGCAAGAATGATTGCTTTATGAAACCAAATTTATAGTATGTGTTTATGTTTTACAGAATATATCTAATGCAATATTAAAAGAACATACCTAATTGAATGTGATTTTTTTCTTTTTTTAATTTTTTATTCATTTTATTGAGAAATAAAGACACAATAGCAATGAAACAGTTTCAAAACCAGTTAGTAGGATGGTTCCAATAATAAATACATTGCATGTTGTTGTATTCATACTAGTTATTCAGAGGACAAGATGCAGACATGATATCTTGTCTAAACAATATTAGCACAAACTTTTATTCTCAATGAATTTAGAGAAAGTAGCTGTATATCTATCCTAACTTTCTTGTGTATACATATGCATTTTTTTTCTCTTTTTTTCACAAAATAGTGGTCCTTTGTTTACACTTTTGTGAAGTTAGTAATGCTTGACACTAGGTTGCTTAGCAACTGATAGCTAACCTTAAAAAGCCAGGACATTCATCTCAGGAGTGAGGTAGGTTGTTTGCTTTAGGCACTAGGCCAAGTCCCACTTACATATATTTCATCAATTTCCTAGCTTTGTGGCTCCAAACATATCCCCTTTTTTGTTTTGTTTTGTCAGAGATGGGTGTTCCACTGTAGTTAGAGAAGCTGTATTTGGAGAAGTCTTTAAAGTACCTTTTCATACTTGAAACCAGTCTAAAGGCTGTAGGTACTTGAATTCAGCAAAATAACCCAATATAGTCCAATAGTCCATGATAGTAGTGGGTTATCAGCAGAACTGGCAATTTTCAGAAGTTGTTGACTTGAGCTTTTTATAGCTCAGTATATTAATATGCCATTACTTTTTATACCTTGTGGTTATACTTTTCTGCTGGATGGTTAAGATCAAGTTAAAGCAAGACCTATATAACTAAAAATATAACTTCTGTATCTGACAAGGTAAGTCAAATCCCCTCAGGATTTACTCTGAAACTATGTAAAGCACCTTGTGGATCTTTAGTCAGTGTCAGCCATCTGGATGAGTCATGGCCATTGCTTGACCAATTTGTTCTCTGTGAAAGCCTGAGAGAATTTTTTTCTCTCGAGGTGACTCTCCTTAGGCTCACTATATATTGTCAATCACTTTCCTCTGTGGCCCCATAATCTCCTTGATCAGAAAATTTGGGACACCACTGAGTTACAGGATGTCACAGCACAGGCTCTCTTATGTCCTGAGTCCTCACTGACCTTGAAAGGTTAGGGCCAAAATATTGGCTATCCTTGTAGCCCCTCTGTTTCTCTAATTTTTGGTCTGCAAACTTTAGTTGTTAAACACTCAGAAGAGAAACTTAATGACATTATTACCCTGTAACAAAGGCAGTTGAGCTTAACGTCACTGTTATTCTATCTTTAAGCTGGTAATTTCCATGTAAAAATAGAAACCCTTGTATCTCCCCAAGAGCCCCAGGACCTCGCCACCTGCCCGGATTTTTATGGGGCAAGACCTGGGGTGTGCACACTTCCTGTCACACCAGGCCCCTCCTCACCCTATGCTCCCGTCCTTGATATCCGTTGACCATTGTAAACCATCAATGACCTCGAGTTATCTTTAAGCAGAGGATTTCTTCCACATCCATGCCCTCCCCCACCCCATGGAAATGCAAAGCAGAGGCTGAGCTCATGTTTCAAGGAAGTCTTGGTGAGGGGATTTCTTTGCTGGAGTGTCTGTTTCTGCATATTTTTTAAAAATTATTTATTTATTTATTTATTTATTTATTTATTTATTTAATACATGGCCTCACTATGTAGCTCGGACTCTAGTGATTCTCCTCTCTCAGCCTCACCAACATTGGGATTACAGGCATGCACCACCATACCCAGTTTTGGGGCTGTCATGTCATGCCTGGGGTTCTGGGATCTGCATGGCGTGCGATACTAGGGATTGAACTCAGGTCCTTGCACTTGCCAGGCAGGCGCTTAGAGCACCATTTGTGCACATGTAATGGCATGCTGCTTCCCTTGTTTATAACACCCCCTCCATGAAGCTAGGCTTGCAAGTCCCGGGAAAGTTGTTTATTGCTGGGGATAAAGAGAAGTATAGCTCAGTGGATTTTATCTTCATCTTTTTACTGCTCCAGGCTCCTATCCTCAGAAACAAAGCAGCTAGTCCAAAACGCCTCAGGCTCACCAGAATTATTACCCTCAAGACCTACAGGAGTTCAGGGGAGGTGGCAGACAGTACCCATGCAGGTGAGGAAGTGTGTGCTGACTGACCACTCACCTCACATTATGAAGTGCTTTTCATAAAATACTACTTGGATTTAACTGTCGGAAAAAATTTGTCTCAGCATATGAAAATACTTGCTTTATTTGGTCAGAAAATAGAACTGATGTAATCCAAAATATTTCCCATTTGTCTTGCTTCCTGGACCAAGATTAGGAAAAATAAAACAAAAATAACCTTCCTATCTTGCTAAAACATATTTCCAAGGAAAGTATTTCTGTAAACATTAGTCACTGCATGTAAGTAAGAAAGTATATCTTCCTGAATTTTGTAAGTTCCATTATTTGAAAGTATTTTCTTAAACAAAATAATTGTTTATTTTTTAAAATTTAGGCTCATCTAATGAGCCTCTCCAGATACCAGTGTGCTTCAAAGCAGAGAGATAAACCTGGTTAGCAAACTGTATTTCTAGTCTGCCAAGGCCCCTCACCCAGCCACCATGACAGAGCGACTGTGTTCTTCAGGGGCACCACATCAAGGTGCACTTGCCGTGTACAATTCCCTTGTATACAGGTTCTGCTTATGTGACTGATGGCCCCCCAGGTCAGGAGGGAACTGCGTTGCTCCCCACCTGGAAGCCAGGCCATGGTTTATGGCAGCTCCTGCTAATGAAATATGGTAGGGATGACATCAAATAGCTTCTAAGTCCAGGTCATTGAAGGTGACACACCTCAGCAGGGACATGTTTCCTCAGCCTCCTGAGCCAACTCCCCTGCCCCTGAGAAGACACAGGTCTGTTCCAGCTCTTGCTACCCAGGGACCCCCTCCATATGTGGCCTCCTACCCATAACTGCATGTGCAAGCCCTGATCCCTGATCCACAGACACTATAAAAGAAAATAGCACTTTAAGCCACCAGGATTTGATCATGCAAACCCCTAAGAACAAATATGCAACAAGCTGAAAACAGAAACGTCATGTTCTGCAACTCACCTCATTGATTTCAGTGCCGTCTGCACTGGTATACACAATTCGGTAACCACTGATCTTTCTGGAGGTTGGGTCCCAGGATAATCGAGCACTGTTGGAGCCGATATTGGAGATTCTCAGGTTTCTCGGTGGACTTAAAGGTACTTTGCAGTGAATGAAATAGAAAATAATTAAAAATTTAAATGACAGATATATAAAAAAAAGAGATAATACATAGTATCTTCGACTTCTGAACTACTTCATATGAAAAACTCACTCGGAAGATAATTTATAATCCTGGAATAAGCAGTGAATTATCTCATAAAATATTAATAATGTTGTCTCATTATAAAGCAAGAAGTGTTCCTATGACTAAGTTTGTTTCTTTGCACAAAACTGCACTCAGGACTCCTGACTCCCTCTGTTCTTACCACAGCCATGGTGACGCTTTGTGACTGGCCTCCGTCATCTTGATGCCCCACCTCCCATGATCCTCTCTTTGGCTCATGAAACTCACTGTCATTCTTCCTGGTGCTGGACCCTCCAGTTGCAGTCACTCACATGACAAGGCACTCACTGTGCCTTCTGCCTACTGGGCATCTCCCTTAGATATCTGCGTGGCTACTCCCTCTGTCAGGTTTCTGAACACAGCCACCTTCTTGGGGAGACTTTTCCTGGCCATCTCATGTCAAACAATTTCACCCCCAACACCACTCACCTTACTTGTCTGCCCTTTTTTGCACTGCATATTTTTGGTTTACTCTCTCCCTCAACATTCTGTTTTGTAACATCGGGGGAGTAGATAATTTGGCTTAATTTTGCTCCCAGCTATATGCCCAATATTCCAAGATACACTTAAGGAATCAAAGAAAAATTACCTTTCCTGAGTAAATGAGAGTGGTTTTGCTAGGCTAAGTACAAATAAACCCTTCACTGCTGCTTTAAAATTCATGACAGACCCTGGCTTTCCTATAGCTTCTTGACTGTCAGTTCCACAGCTTTTAATTTTTGAGGGTTTTATGAGCTTTTGTGGATTTATAGCAACATTAGTTGTTGGCATTTGCTGAGTACTTTCCTGGATCTGACATATAATATGTTATCCCATTAAACCCTAACTTTAGACTGCAAAGATTGAGTTCCAATGATCCCCACTATACTGATGGCACCTGAAGTAATTAGGTCGCAGTACTAGGGCAGAAGAGCAGTAAGAGTTTAGCCCCCGAATTGTTAACACTTATCGTGTGCCTTCTGTGATACTGGCACATAGTGTGTGTTATCACACATCACATCAAAACTTTCTGCAGCATTCCCATTGTACTGAGGACAATTAAGGCAATTAGGTCATGGTAGCTAAGAACAGAAAAGGAATAAGAATTTAACCCACCAATTGGTTAATTGGTTCCGAACCTACAACATTACCCTGTATACTAATCACCCCCCCCACACACACACACACATGCCCCACAACACAATCTCAAATAGTGCTGGTACAATCCACAGAGCAAAGACCACGGAGACAACCACGACCATTATCAGCCTTAGCCATGAGGCATAAAGCTTCCTAATCCAAAGGGACAACTTGTTCATTTTTCAGTACCCACTGATTCTTTGACAATAACGGGATTATCAGAGTTAGTGACCCTATGAATGCTGAAGAGGCGAGACAGAAAGCGCAGGAAGGGAAGAGTGGCCGGAGTCAGTACTGGGTGATAGCTCTATGCTTTTCGAGAATGCAGCTGTATTTGGCAGCATGGCAAAGTAAAGTCTAATTTTCTTAATGCATAAAACTATCAATCTCGGGAAGAGATACCTAGGACATCATCTTTTCAGCAGCCTCTGTTTTGTTCTGTTTTATTTAAATCAACTATGAATTATGGGAAAGATTTGTACGAATTCTTCAAACCTATAAATAAATGAGCTTTCCGTGTGACAGACAAGGGGTTGGGGGAGTCTTCTTCCCAACAGGTAGCATCTGAAAAGTCGCTTGGTAAATGATTCACCAGATACTTTGTGGTATGATTTAGTTCTTTCCTTCTTCTGTCCCAGTTTTGTTTGCTCACTGTTTTAATTACATGGCCTCTCTCTAAAGAGGGTGGACAACACAGCTTTGACTACAAAAACAAAAAGGATGTGAGAAGACTTATGTCCTTATCACTCCGCCTCTGGGTTTTCCCAACTAGAATCTCAAAGCCAAAGGCCCGGTGGAAATCCTAGTGATTTTCCCAACTAGAACCTCAAAGCCAAAGGCCCGGTGGAAATCCTAGTGATTCTTTCTTCCCAAGACTTGGAGTGGCAGTAACCTTTCACTTTCTTGTGCTTTAAGAACACAGCCGTATTCCTAACAGCGCATGCTAAGTCTTCTTACTATGCCGCGGCAGTATTTTCTGTGTGTGTGGTCAGCTCAGCCCACCCTGGGGGCGGGGCTCGCGTGGCATGTGGTGCTGGGGATCAAACTGCAGTCCAGCGCACTTGCCTAAGCTTGCCTAAGCGGGTGCTTTAGACCACTAAGCTATCTCACCAGCCCCTGCCATGGTAGTATTTTTGTCTGCTATCATTTTTTTAAATAGATAAATATAGATATTTCCTGAAAATAAGAGTCCCCTATATTTAGTGCAGAAGTCTAGCATGCAGAGTCTGGGATTCAATTCCCAGCACCACAAGAAAAAATAAGCCCCATCAGCCTCACTGATAAAAAATGTACTCAATTAAAAGATGCAACACAAATAGGTTCAAATAAGGAGAGCAAAGATTTTTAGAAAACAAATGTTCACTTTGACGAGTGGAAACCACCGAGTACAGACACGCTAAGTGCTTTCTCGTGCGCTGCTGTATTGAATCCTTCACCAACCACATGCTGTAAGATTTGTTCCTCATTTCTGGACTCAGAAATGTTACAGCACTAACCCACTGTCACCCAGCAAAACACGGCTTGACCTGAGGTTCCCATCTCTCCAATGCTACAACCCCAAAGCTCTCCCAGAGCTCTTCCTCTGTCCTGACCTAGCATTTGGATTTAGACAAAGACACCAGTGGAATTGTCTGGAAGACACTGGAGTTCAGTTTGCACTTCGACACCCTTATAACCAGGCGAGACAGAAGGT